GTAAACATTCAAATATGTGAATGGGTCTAGTTCTTCTTTAAGTCCTGACATGTACTTGTTTACTGAGATGAATTTTGCCATCTTTTCTATCGGATAAAAAAATATTTTTTAAAATTTACTCATAAAAATTTTTTGTATATACACCATTCTGAACATCTAAAAGACTTTTGACATTTGCCAAGAATGTTCGTTTAGACGCTGTCATATAACCATATTCTTGACAATATTGTTTATACGAATCGTACAATGACCTTTCATCTAATGACACAAAGTCAGTTTCATCTATGAACAGTTCATATACACTCTTGTTTGCTTCTAACAATGTTTGTCTCTCTTCGGTATGTGGAATTTGTCTTGGATTGAACTTTGAAATATCTAATGTCATAAAATATGAGAACAAGTGGTTGTAAAAGTCAGATGTCAAAGTTTCTGCTAAGTTGTCAAAATATTCTGTATCTTGCATATGAGAATCTGACGTTCTGACAACTACATATCTTCTGTCAGAACTTTCTAACTTCATCGGAACAACATTGTTTGAAACCATAATGAAGTTTGCAACATTTTCACAAACTCTTTGGTCTTTATACTTTCTTTCAACAACTCCAACTTTGTCTGTTATAAGACTCTTCAAAGCATCTGAGTTTAAAACTTTTGTTGTATCTATACTTTGAAGTTCGTTACATACTATAAGTTTCATATTCTCTATTGAGGAGTTAAATTTACCGCAGATGTTTTCTAAGTTTGTCATATTAGGGTTCGAATAGCCCTCTAATAGTTTGCATAAGATATCTGTAAAGAATGTGTTCTTACCAGTTCCTTGTTTTCCAATTATAATGAGAGCAGTTTCATTTTTAGCACTTGATGTTGTAAGATATTTGCAAACCAACATAAGATATACTCATAGACTCTTTCGTTTCCATTGCATATAATTTCTTTGACATGGTCTAACCAAGCTTCTATAATATTTTTCTTTCCATTCTACTTGTTCATATTTATATCCAGTGAAGATAGAATAGAAGTTTGGAGAAGGTGTATAAAACTTTATACCTCGAACTGAAAAATCTTCTAACTTTGACAATAAGATATCCCAAGCATCTAACATCTTCATTCCAACTTGTACAACTTTTATTTTCTTAAGTTTCTGTCTACATTCTTGTTCAGACACTATTGTCGCTTTAGGTTTGTTAAAGACAACATCCCATTCTTTCATAACATAACATTCTGGGGCAGAGTCAACATAAATGACTAAACGTTTCAAATTCTCGACTGCTTTGTTATAGTCTCTAAATGGACACATATTTCTGAATGCTTGGAAGTCATAAAAATCTGAAACATCTATTCTGTACATTTTATAAAAATAAAAAAAATATTTTTTTATTCTTGACTTTGTTGTTGCATTTGTTGCATTTGTTGTTCTTGAGCTATTTGTTGTTGAAGTTGTTCTTGTAATACAATACTTTCACCAGTTGCATCTTCCAATTCGAAACTTTCTGCCGTCATTGACAAATACATAGGACATAAAAGTTTTACAGGAACAAAGTTTGCGTCAACTAATGTCAACGTTATACTTGCCAAAGTGTTTGAGTTCACTAAGGTTGAAATTCTGCATTCGAATGAACAATAGGCAAACCAGCAGAGAAAGTATTGTTTATACGCATAAGTATCTTTTGTCATAATAGTTTCTGTCAACATTCGAATAACACTTTGAACCTAAGTTTGAAACAATATATAAGATTGGTGTGCTTAATGTCAATGGAATAGACATTCCTTGTATGACACTTTCCTGTTATAGGAAACTGTTGGTAGTAAAAACCAGAAATAAGTTTTGTATTATAGCTCATATTGTTTATAGTAAACTCAGTCGGACATCCAAACATAATGAAACCTGCTCTAGTTGCAGCACATGTTACACCCGTCCTTAAAGTATTAAATAAGTCAACAAAACCTGTTGGTGGTATATCTGAGTAAGTATCTTCAAAGGAGTATTTTTTACCATTCACAACAATAAAGTCTTCTGGTGTCAAAAGAGCAAAACAGGCTTTAGTCGTCATTGTGTTTAAGGTTAGTTTACAATACCGTCCTTGAGGACTTTGTAAGTTTGTTGTTATAGAATTATATGACTCAGGGTTTTTAGTCGTAATAGTATAAACCATTATATCTTCTGCCATTTATATATATTTAAAAGTTTTTCTGAAAGTGGAGAAGAACTTCATCTAAACTTTCACATGGCGTTTCTTGAAGTCTCTGTCTAAGAAGTTCAAATATTTTGTAAAGACATAGAACTTTCCTTTGTCTACACGAACAAACAAAACAGGGTCTTTCATATCGTTCAAAAGTGTGTAAAGTCCTTTACATGAAATAAAGTCTATATTATTTTTCTTCAAACATCTTTCAAGAAGTTTTGACATTTTTACTTAGCAAATAAATTTTAATGAAATGTTGTGGTCGTCAAATATTTTTATGACGTCTGGGAAACTATACTTTAAGTTCAACGTTTCACCTCCTTTCATAACGTATATCTTGTCAATGACATTATATGAAACACCACAGCAACTAATGTCGGTTCTATTTCTTTGATGTTTATATCGTCTGCCTCTGTCAAAAGTTTCAATAGTTCTTTCAAAACTTCATGAGGTGCAATGACATATGAGTTCACTTTTACAGGGTTGTGTTCGACCAAGTTTAACATTATACCTAAAGCTTGACAAATCTTCTCCTGAGTTTGAAGTTTGTCTTTAAGTTGTTGGTAGTCGTTTCGAATATCTGCAACAGAACTTAAGTCTCTGCTAACTTCAGGATATGTTGGTTGTTCTTTTACAGGAACAATTGCTATACCATCTTCGTCTTCGTATGGTTTCCCCACTTCAACATCTCTGTCTTTGACATTGACAACAACACTTTGACTGTTTGTTTGAGTTGGTGAATTTAACTTCACATCTGCCACCGCCATTAAACCTTTTGAAACACTCACGCTTCTATTTTTCGGAAATGACATTTTACTTAGAATAAAAAGATGGACGTATTCGAGTATCTCTTCGAATTGAAGCAGAACAAAGTTTACACACACAAACAATACAAATACATTGACAGAATAGTTCTTTATACAAACAATGGAAAATGTTATAGAATAGCAGTCTTTGCTGAACCAAAATATTTTCATAAAGCAAAGAAAGTTGGTATAACTGAAATGGTGAAAGTTCTTGAAGCAGACAAAAATATAACTTCAAAACTTACAGATATTTCTAAAGGAAAGTTTATCTTACAATATTATGTCAAAACTGGCGTACTGTCAATATTTGACGGAGAGAAGTCAGTTCAAGAACAACTTACTGACCTGCTGCCAAAATCTGCTCGATGGAAGCTGTCGTTATGCCAATCTGAGGAGCCCCAGCAGGTTTCATCGAACGAATCTTCAAAAGAGCATCTTCCGTGAAAAGTGCTATTGGTTTTGTAAACTTCTTTGCTCTCAGTTCATCTGGACCGTCTCTGTCACCAGTATATTGTATTTGTACAGTACCAACAGTTGAAATACCACCCATAAAGTCTTCTGAGTCAGCAAATGGAATGCCAAGCCAAAAGTTTGAACGGTCTCCATTTGTATATTGAGTTTTTTGACCTCCTGTATGAGTCCATACTTTCACATATGGCATAATAGAACTTTGCATTTCAGGGTTAATAGTTGTTGTGAAGTTGTTGTTAAAGTTCATAGCATCTAATGTCAAGTTGTATGACCTCATATCCTCAACTGTAGAATATTCTTCTCTTGGATAATATTTGCCATCTATGTTTATATGATATTTAATACCGGGGTTGTAGAAACAAGAATAGTCATTTATAGTTCGTCTGAACAGTACAAACATAGTATCTGCATGTTTCATTGCAGTTGTTAAAGCAATATCTGTTCTTGCACCTGGGTCAGCACTTTGGTTTCCAACTTCACCTGCAAAGTCTTTGACAGATATTTGGTGTATAGGGAACATAAGTGGAACTGCAATATATTTGGCAGCTAAAGCATTTGAAATATCTGGTCCAACATATAGACTGCAAGTCTGCTTTCTATTCTCTTGCATTCAAATTTTTCGCATGTGAACTTAACTGGGTCCCAAGCAGTTCCAGCAGCATTGAAATAATAGTTTACTTCATTGTTGAAGTTTGAGAAACCAAAGTCTAAGTCAACCTTGTCTTTGCAAAAGTCGGCGAATGACGTTTTATTTGTTCCCATTACGTCTGTAAGAGTGAATGGGTCTTGTGTTGGTGCAATGACTAAGTTATTTTTGCTTGGAGTAAGTTCGATAGAAATTTTTCCTGCCCAGTTTGGCAAGTATCTTAAAAACCTGAAGATGAGGAAAGATGACAAAGGAACTCTAAGTTTCAGTTTTACTTTAGTGGCAGCATTTCCATCTGAACCAGAAAGGTTAACATAAACTCCTGGAACGTTAGGGTCAAGTCTTCTTATTTTCTCAATATTTGCATACTGGTCTGTTTGTTCTCTAGCTTGTGGTTGTACTGAGTTTCTCAAAGCGAACCATTCATAGTTTGCCCATGTTACTGTTTGAACTAAGTCAGAGTTAGAATATATCTTATATCCCATGAAAACTTCTGGAGCATATTGGTATCCGACATAGAAAATTCCATTGCAACCTTTCTTGTCAGACAACTTGGCAGAAGGTTTTATTTCAATGTCTTGTTCCACGTATAAGAATGAGTTGTCAATAGAAATAATATGAAACCTGTCGCAAGCAATATCTACTGTTGTTGAAGAACCTTCTCCAAACTCACCTACGTTTCCATAAGAAACAGCAGTTGTATATTCGTAAGTTCCAGGAACTATTTCTGACCTTCTAATGGCATTGTCGCATTCGTTATACCATTCGGAAACATTTCCGTTCATGGCATCCAAAACTGTTGGCGTTATATTCTGAGCGGCGTACATTTCATATGGGTAAAAATATAGAATAGTTGGATTTATATATCATAATAGAACCCACTCGGACCAAGCTTTACTTTGTTCTACTCTTCTTCTTTGGTGTCGCTTTTGGTAACTTGCCCTCTGCTTCAAGTTGTTGCATCTTTGCCTCATGTTCACCGAGTATGTTGTAAATTTTCCATGTCCTTTTTGCCTTTGGGCTCTGGTCGCCCATCTCAGGTAACCTATATCCTAGAAAGATTTTGTCATAGTTTGTATTTGAGTCTTCGCGTATTGTTTGCATGACTCTTTCCTGAGTTTCCGGTTCAAGCTCTTCAAATATAGCTTGTCCATATGGAATAAGCTCGTTTCCAAATATATGTTTTTGTAGCCATTCTGGTTTTCTTTCCATGTTACCAATAATATCTTTTGTGAATGGGAAAGCTTTTACCCAATGTTTCAGTCTTGCGTCATTTATTTCTGTAGTTGGTTTTATTTTGTCAAGGAACATGTTTTTCAATACTAACATTTCATTTGGTACTGTCCATTTGAGTTTTCTTAAATATTCATCCCTTCTCGGTTCATTGTCTGCAAAGTAAGTTTTTATGACATTTTGTAAACTTTCGTTTGCAAGGTCATGTACAATAGGTTCTCTTCCTTCTCCCTCCCTAACTTTCTTTCTAAACTCTTCACCAAATATACCATCTCTATGGTTCTGTGTAGTTCTTTGAGATAAATCTAGAACGTCAGGTGTTATATTTCCATCAGCCATGTTCATTTCATACTGGTCCAAAATATCTGCATCTTTCATATCTTTCAATGGCATTAAAGCCGCGCTGAAAATACCAGCTATATCTGGTTCACCATTCACTTCCATTGCGTCTACAACTTCTTGGAATTGTGGTTGTAAGTTTATGAACCACCTATCCGGATTAGCTTTATGACCCCATCTCATTGTAGTTCCATAGTCTGCAGAAACAAAAGTAGGTTTGTTTCCATATTGGTTAGGTTCTGAATGAACTTTAAACAATGTTTCATTTCTATATGTTTTGTTGAAATTTAACCTTTTATTTTCTCCGGTTCAGCCAAAGATTGAACGTTATATGGTCGTAAGTAAAAAGGATTATTGTATTTGCGTACAATTTCTTTCAGTACTCCCATTCTATGCTGAATATTTTCATCTGATGTTGGAGTTCTTTGTATGTCGGCGAACATTTTTCGATATTCTTCTACTATGTCAGCCGAATTTTTCTTAGACTCTTGAAAGATTCCATATTCCCCGCATACACTTGTTGAGGGTCAAGATTTTTCGGCTGTTCCAAATCTTCATCTAGTTCTGTGAAGTTAGTTTCCAAAGGAGGGACTTGTTTGTTTCCTTCAGGCTCTTCTAGCTGTTGTTGCTGAACTATTTCTTCCATGTCTGGTTGTATCTGAACTTCTTCCTGTGGAGTTTCTTGTACCTCATCTGCTGGCATTTCATATATTCCGAGACCGTTTTTAAAAAGTTCCCTATCTAAGTCATCCGGACTCATAAACCTTTCTTCTTTCGTTCCGTCTCTATTTTTTACGCGTTTCATGAAGAGAGTTGAATTATCATTTAGCTCTGACACCAAATATCTCGGAGTAAATTCAGTCATGTCATTTGGATGATATGCTATTAAATCATATCCCTTAGCGAGCTTGTATTTTCCAGGTTTGAAATTATATCCCATTTGGTGCTGAACCATAAAGCTAAATAGGTTCGGGTCAGTATTTCCTTCCTTGAACTTTCTAATAGCTTCTTTATATCTGTCACTAAAGTCAAGAGTATCTGGGTAACCATAATTTTCCTTAAGCATTTTTAAGAATTCTTGGTTTCCTTGTTCTCTACTTCTTTTATGTCCTTGCTCTGTTTGTGGTTGTTGTTGTGCAGGGTTTTGAACTGTTGGTTGTTGTGCAGGGTTTTGAACTGTTGGTTGTTGTGCAGGGTTTTGAACTGTTGGTTGCTGTGCAGTGTTTTGAACTGTTGGTTGCTGTGCAGTGTTTTGAACTGTTGGTTGTTGTGCTGGATTTTGAACTGTTGGTTGTTGTTTTGGTGCATGCCTGTGTCTGTGTCCATGTGACGATGTAAATGTTTTAGGTAGTCCTGGTGCAGGTGCTTCTCTTGGAGGGTTTGGTGGTATATAAGTTCCACCAGCTGGCACATATGTTCCATCTGCAGCATAATGTCCTACCTGACTTTTCGTTCTTAAGAAAGCATTTACTAGGTCTGTTTTGGTCTGTTGTAACTCTTTTTCTTGACTTTCCACAACAGTTGCTCTAACGGCGTCATAGGCACTTTGAACTGCCTGTCTCGTTGCTGCATCTGTTATTTTCGTCATATTTTGTGCTACTTCTCTTAACTCGTTGTCGAAACCTTCAGACTTCAGTTTCTTTCCAGATGAGAAGTCGTTCACTAGTTTCACCTTACTATGAAGAGCTTCGAAGGCGTTCTTAAAGTCAGCATTCATTAAAGCTTCATTTGAACTGTCTTCATCCGCTTGTATTTTGTCCTTATTGACCCTATAAGTTGGGCTGCTTTAGCGTTGGCTTGGGCATCTAACCAGTCATTATTAGCTTTTATATATTCTGCGCTTTTCATTGCCTTTTGCATGGCTGCGTCGTTATTTTTACTTTCTTGTGCTAAGTTTTCATACTGTACGGTTTGGTTTTGCAACTGTAAAAGTTTTTCTGCCTTTACATTTGCTTCAACTTCTTTTTTATACTCATCGCTATCCATATATGTCTTCAGGGCTTTTTGTTTTATCTCTTCATCTTTCAGTACTTTATATTGAGTAGTATGGTTTTTCAAATTTATAACATCTTGTTCCATTTTTGCTACTTCTGCTGCTTTTTCTGACACTTTTTTCGCATATTCCTCTGTACTTAGTTCTTTCAGTTGTTCTTCTTTCTTCTTTTTTCTACGTTTAACTCATTGAGTTTCTTTGTGTGTCTGTCATATTCTAGTTTCTTTTCGTTTTCACTTATTTGTTTCTGTATGTCTATGTTTGACTTTTTGACATCTGTTATTTGATTTTTGAGTGAACTCAAATTCATTTGACTTTGAGGGTTATAAGCTGTTCCGTCTGCAGCTCCACCATAGCCTGCCATTTTCGCTAAAAGTGCCGCTCTTAAACCTCCACTCTGTGCACCAATAACTCGGTTTAAAAGCATAGGGTTGCTTGACATTTGTTGCAACATAGTGGGGTCATTCATCATTTGTTGTTGCAACTGTTGTTGTGGTGTCAGTTTTACTATTGGATGTTTCAATGCTCCCTTCCTCTTACGTATATTCTTACGTAGCTTACGTGGCATTTTAAGTGAAGTAAAAAACGGTTTTTGACAGATGTTTATATGACACTTTTTGTTCAGCACAAAAAACTACTCGGTCAAAGTGTTGTCAGTTTTGTAAAATAACCGTCCTATCTCCGTGCCTATGACGAAGAAATCATGACAAAACATTTACGAAGAAGTCTTGACAAAACATTTACGAAGAAGTCTTGACAAAACATTTACGTTCATGTTTGACAAAACATTTACGAAGAAGTCTTGACAAAACATTTACGAAGAAGTCTTGACAAAACATTTACGAAGAAGTCTTGACAAAACATTTACGAAGAAGTCTTGACAAAACATTTACGAAGAAGTCTTGACAAAACATTTACGAAGAAGTCTTGACAAAACATTTACGTTCATGTTTGACAAAACATTTACGAAGAAGTCTTGACAAAACATTTACGAAGAAGTCTTGACAAAACATTTACGATGAAATCATGACAAAACATTTACGATGAAATCATGACAAAACATTTACGATGAAGTCATGACAAAACATTTACGATGAAATCATGACAAAACATGAAAACATATATAATTTGTGAAAAGCGACACATTATATAATGTTTTTCGACCCAGAAGAAGGTTTTCCGAATAAAAACTTCATTTATACTAAACTTTTTATGGGCTAGAAGGCACGAAGTGCCTGGAAGGCCATCCCAAGAAAAAAAAACTTCATTATACCAAACATCCTCAGGGCTAGAAGGCACGAAGTGCCTGGAGGCCCCACTACCTTTTTTTTTTTTTTTTTTTTTTACACATCATGAATGCTTCGATAAAATATGAAAATGATATTATTTAAATCATGTATATCGCTGATTCAAAAAAATGAAGATGATTGCTGGCAAATAGAGTTGTGCTAGATTTGAAATAATGTTCCAGAATTATGTGAGATAATATACTGATATATATATATGGTTGAAAACTCTTACATTTACCAAAAAAAACTGCAATTCGATTAGTAATGGACGAATTTCAGATCTAAATAAATATAATGTGATCTAATCCAAATTCAAATTTACGAAATATTGTTATTTATTATATTTTAAAATATATATTTTGGTCAAGTTCTCAAATTTGAATGTATCGTCAAAAGACAATAGTCAGCTATAAACTTGCAACAAACAATCAAACTGTATATACATCAAATTTTTAACGATATTCAATCTTTGTTTGAATCTCCGATCATATTTGAGAGAGTTAAGGTTTTTTTATTCTAAACACAAAATACTAAGTCCTAACCAATGACATGGGAATCTGTATTCTCTGGATCACACTATGATGAAGAATTTCACAACAACTCACACTTTTCCAGATCAAATAACTTAAATTACTTTATTTTAAATTGTTTTTTTCATGAATTAAGTCCAAATGGTGCTGTTCGAATCTCGACCACAATTGATACTGCTAAAACATACGTAAATACAAATAAATTCGAATCATGTTCCTCTGGATCACAAAATGGAGGTTCTCTATTCTTTGGAAGCGAAGGTCAATTTGTTCAAACAAAAAATTCATTCATCAACTCAACAAATTCATGTGATGGCTCTTCATTTTACATATATGTTTCACATATTCAAAGTTATAAAAATCATGCTAATGAAACTTTAGTTTCCAACTGTGGCACTTCAGAGCAAGACTGTTCTGTTACAACTAACATGGGACATGGTTTTACAATCATGTATGAATGCAATATCACACAAAATAGAGTTAAAAAATGGAACGGGGGTTATTCAATAAACTCGATTGCCTCTGATTCATACATAACTTGTGTTAATGTCATTGAAAACAACCAATCAGTTAATCAAATTAATTATCACTCATCAATATCATTAACATTTAAAGTTACATCATGTAATTATATAAGGAATAAAAGCTCAAATAATGGAGATTTGATTTCTTCTTTTTATTCAAATATTTTCATGAGTTATTGTTTTATTCGTGAGAATAAAGTTCCTTACATTTTTTATGCCTCACTGAGTACAATAACATTTGAAAATTCAACAACAGATAACAGTGATGCATATTCAGATAATACTGCTTCACCTCCAATATTCAAGAATACAGATATTTCATTTGAAAACAAATGCCCTCTTTTGATAATTCCGACAACAAATAATGATCAGCCTATAATACCAATTAAAGAAAAATCACAAACTGCTGAAATCAAAAGAGTTATGAGAATTATTCGCAGACGTTAACAATTTGGAGTTATAACAAAACAATCGACATAACTTAAGGGTGGACTTACGCCCCTATGACATGGCCTTCAATTCATATGTTTAAGGTTAATTTTCAATGGTGCTTCACGCCAGTTGTCAAAAATTTGAATTAAAGTCAGATGGGCGTAAGTGCAGCCTTAAATCAACACAGGATGAAACTGAAAATATCATTTGTTGATTTTTCATCAAATAATCTTGAAAATGGAAAGAATATGGTTTTTAGATACCTCTCATTAATTTACGAAAAGTGGTTTAATTTATTTGAATTAGAAAAATTTTGCCTTTTGAATAATTGAATCCATTGAATTTTGAATCCATTGAATTTTGAATTGAAATCGGATTGGCAAAAATTGCTTGCAAATTTATTTCTAATACAATTAAGTGATTAATAATAATTTACATATGTCAAAATACGCCACTAACAGAAAAAAATTATACAATGCACTCAATATCCAAGCTGCCGAAATATAGACCTAGACATTACACATTTGATATTGTTGATGGCAATGTCATTGGGTATATTCATTGCATCGGAAAAGACGGAAAAGAATTACATTTGGAACACTTTGATTCTTTTATAGGTCATAAAAGACAAACGGCGATACCACAAGGTGTTGATTTTGCCCAAGCTGAGGAAAATATCAAAAAATATATATGGACTGGTTCATCAAGAAAATTATTTTTGAATGATAAAACATGTCTTGACATTAAAGGTGAAATACCACACTTAGAGCTTATAGCTGATGCTTCTCTGAATAAATATTCAAGCTTTCAAATTGAATACTTTCCTTCATTAAAAATTGATACGACAAGTTTAAGTATTGTTCAACATGCTCCAGAACATCCTTCTGGTGTTTCGAATGCAATATTTGACCAGATTTAAGAAAATTATAATAATATCTCATTCTAATACGTCTCCATATTTATTTTTGTTTGAACATTTGTTTATTCACTCTCCAAAGAGTGATTTAATATTATCCATACTAAATTACACTGTTATTGTTGCAATAATTTTTATATAAAGATGTTTTCATTCCATATAATTGCATTTGGCAATTAAAATTTTAAAAACATTTCATGTCTGGATACTCACTTCATGAAAAATTGTAAATATAGAGTTTGAATTTTTATAAAGATCTCGGTGATTTTCATCTACTGTATGTTTCGTGTGAAATAAGAGAATCTCATACAATGACATTTATTGAATAAGATATTGCTTCAAAGCTTTCAATCGCATATTCAATTATTGAATAATAAGGAATAATGCCAGTGATAATCCATCATAAATTTAGGGAAAACACTACATTCCTTGAGTTTTATTGCTGCAAATCAATACAATATTTTTATTCTTTAGGAATTTAAAAGATTTTGAGATGAAACACATACGAAACAAAGATACTCTACGTACTGATTCATATTCTTTCTATTTTGCGTGTAATAAATATCAGGAGTTTATTATTCTTTATAGAATGTCAATTTTTTATAGAAAATTTACTAACGTTATCATAAAATGTATTTAGGATTTCTCATTAGTTTTGCATCCTCTAATCAGAACAAACCTGTTTTAGAGAATTGCAACTACTATAGTACATATAACTATAGTTGTGCAACAATTCCTTCAGGAATGAACTATATAGATGGTTTACTTCGCTGCAATTCATCATCACAAGTCATAGATTTAACATCAGACGAAATGACATGCATTGATTACGCAAGTGGCACAAAAGTTTTATATGATACAGCAGTAGTTTCTGAAAATACAACAGGACTCTCATCAAAAATGATTGTTTTCTTCGATCAATCCGATAAATTCTCATCTAGACTCAGTACAGATTACGGCAACTTATTAGATGATGCCGTTAAAGCATGCAAATCAAATTACGCTCAAATGTACACTCCTTGCCAAATTGTTGCTTCAGGATGTGCACTTTCCAGCTACTATCCCCATTCCCCAGCATGCATTGCCTACAACGCATTGCCAGCAGCAAATTCAACAACATATGAATATAAATACTGGCCAGCAAATCGTCCATTCATAGAATACGGAGTTCAAGCATCCAAAGTTATAGATGAGCATATAATGAATACTACATTTTCCAAAGAAGAACAGATAAATATTGTTTTAGCTCGTTACAGTCAAAACGGAACATTCCTTGGCTACGTACCTCTTACAAACCAGTTCGACATTTGCACTGAAAAACGCGACGTAAATCTCATGTGGCAGCTTTACGGAACTGGTTACGTCAGCGAATGCGAAGTAAACATCATGGATATATTTAATTCTACAACAACCGATGTTTACGATCCATTCTTAGTACAAGAAGTTTCAGGAACAAATGTTTTACGTCCAATTCCTGTAAATGTTTTATCATATCGCGATGCAAATGAAATTCCAGTAAATCAGAGAAGTATTGAACGTAAGAAACGTTTATTCCGTCGTTTCTTCGCATTGGATAATTATACAAACCCAATTTTCATTCAATATCTTTCATCAATGTCAATTAAATTCGAACACTTCAATGAAACATCTGAGGAACGTATACCAGTCATTACTGTTGGATATACAACAGTTCGCCGCTCAGATCTTCAAGAATCAGATTATCCAATTTATCTTGACGTTGAATCCTTTACAACCAGCAACTATTCATTCTCCATTGAATTCTCAACAAATATTGAATCATATTGGGAGGCTGCTCTCATCACTCTCATCGTTTTAGCCATTATTTGTATTATTATTTGGCTTTATCGTGCAGTTGTTACAGTTAAACGTTATGGAACAGAAGGAATTGACTTCAAAGTCATTGCTGCTCTATTTGCAGAAGCTTTCAACATAGTTGCATGGTTATTATTCATAATGGCATTTGTTTTCTCATTTGCAATCTTCTGTGCCTACAAATGGACACCATCCTCCAAGTATACAATCCTTGGAAACGAGTTTGGAATCCTTACAGGCTTTATTTGGGCCGCTTGGGTCTTATCATTCATCGGATTAGTCATTAAGTACGTTTTAATGCTTACTTCAGAGACATTTCTCATTGATTGGGAGCCACGTCGTCCATCCATCCCTGTTTCAGCGTGGCGCCGCATTCTTGTTGGTAATGAATTTCTTAAATTACACACAAGAAGGTCATACAACATTCCTTTCACAGTTATCACCCTCGTGTTCATTCTCGGAGGCTTTGGAGTTGACAAACTCCAAGCTGTTCTTCCAAGTTCAACGTTAATCGAGTCAGGATCGAATTACGGAGTTTTAAGGTTCGCAATTGTCACTTTTATTTACATTTTATTATTAATTTTCCAATATATCGTTACACGTATTGTTTGGCTCATTTCTGGCTCTCCTTATGAAGACTTCGCACGTCTTTGTGGTACAGCAAATGTTTCTGTATTAACTTTGTTGTCTCCAAGCTGGGCTATTTATCTAAATGGCCGCGCAATGAAGCCAGCAGATGAAGGAGACATTAAATTGATACAGAGTATTTCAGAAGCAGAAAAAGGAGCTTTGTCAATTAAACCGTTGTCAGAAAACCGTCCAGAACAAGTTTACGAATGCTTCTTTGCTCCTAAGCTCAGGGAACCATTATACCAAGCCTACGACAGAATAGTTGAGATGCATCACATGAGACCGAAGAATTTGAAGAGAGCAAATACATCAATTGTTTCTCTTGAAGCTATGTCTTCTTTCGAACAATTAAATGTCTTTTTGCAAAGATTTTTCGGCGCAGAAGGAAAAGACAGAGAATACGATGTTTGGAAGACACCTTTCGGTTACAAACTCTCTAGAATGCCACCAGAACCACCAGAGAGATCCCTACTTTATGCACAATCAACAAATTCATTAAGAAAAGCCATCGACGGTTATGGTGAATGGTTGTTGGCACTTTTCGATTTATTACTTTTCGTTTGTGTCGATTACCAAGCATCGTCAACACCTATTGCTGCATTCGTGACACTCATTATCGATGCAGTTATGATGGCAGCTTGGAGATCTGCTGCTAAGAGAAACTTGGCAAGAAAATCTCTTATCGATAATCGTTTCTTCCTTAACTAAGTACTTTATTATTGTAAACATTTTAATATTAAAGATATGAATTCTGTTATATACTATTTTTAAATAAAGTTCAAAATAACTCAAATCAGAAATTCATAACCATTAACCTCTCCGTTTTATTGGCCATAAGTCAATAAATTATAATCCATCATAGGAAAAGAATTAAATCTACTCATTAATATTTCATAATGGTTGAGATTTTTTGCTTTCGAAATTTATCGAACTAATTTGACTTAATAATTCGACGAATTGTCTAAGAAATAGATATGTAATATAATTGACGTATTTATGCTTGTATTACTTCAATTTGTATTTTTGAATTTGTTTTTATGGAGAGAAATATGGTAACCTTATTGTTGTTTTCTTCGTAAGATACAGTAACAATGAGCAAAACATTATTGCCGAATTCAAAATTTTTATCCAAATCCCATTCCATAGAGTTCTCAAATTTTGATAGGAATTTGGGAGTTGTACAGTAAATAAGAACGATATAAAAGAATCATAGAGAACAAAAATTATTATGAAAATTAGTGTTACTCTCCTCTAATTATTAAATTTAGAACGAAACGATCTTAAATGGTTAATCATCAATTGAAAAAAAGAGTATTCGTAAAATTGACAACAATTGAATACCCATCATTGACAAATGCCCTACCAGGTGTTTTCTGAAATATCAGAGTATAAGGAATCAGGTTTTTCGGGCATAAATTGTGAGAGATAATTTCAATGTGTTTGTAAAAAGGGTTGATAAAATAAATCTTACTTATCTATTATTATACTACAAAATGTTCTTTTTGCTAATTATTGAATTCAAATTGGTCAAATTTTCAAGGATAATTGTTCGCGAACGATATCCTATTGAATTTTTGTGCATTGTAAAAAATCAATCTTATTATTGATGGATAGTGATGATGATTTCATTATTGTAGATGACGAATACTCATTATTTCGACATCATAAACAAGAACAAATAAAACAACCAAAGCAAATTTCCTTGTTCTCTATCCTTTCATCGATAGATAATTCTACTCATTACAAAAATATGAATTGGCCAATTAAAGAGGCTAATCTTGCGGGTCAGTCAGTTGACATTTTAGGAAGCTATTGTGCTGCCTAAATTAAATTGATTTTGTACAGTAAATAGTCAGTATTTATATATATTTTCGAAAAATAGTTTTTTAAATCAATCTTACAAATCTAATATGAGATTTCTAGTTCGATAGATGTCTATATCTTCAATATTAAATCTATCGATATTTTTATTTTTAAATTTCAAATTTATAAAATTTTTAAATATTCGAATTAAAATGAGATTATATACGGAAAAAGTGAAAACACACAACAAATTATAAAGAGTAGTATCACTAGTTATACATAAAAATACAATCTATTTTTTATATAAATCTAAAACAAAATATTTTTCAACAAATATAAACATATTAATCTTTTTTGAGTCCATTTAGAATGGATGACATTGAATATCTGACTTTCATCTGATGTATGTACTTATTATTATTCGGTTCGTTCAATTTCTCGCAAACTATGTCCCATTTCGGTGGAACATAAGCGCTTTGCTTGGTAAGGCATTCGGTGTCGGCCTTTATTATGAAGCAATCGCTTGGTGCGCTTTGATTTCTTCGTTCAAGTTCTTCATTAATTGCTCTGACCTCTCTACTTCCTGCTTTCTGTTCAATTTGTAGTGCGGGCGGTCTGTTCTTCTTACTTTTACCGTTTTCGTTTGTACTCGAGTCTGAGAAAAACTGAGCTTTTCTGAGATTTGTTGCTTTCGAATTTTTCTCGTCCGAATACGAGTCATCTGAGTCTGGAACGCCGTCAATCGGCACTTCATCGAATTCTTCACTGTTCGTTGGCGTAATTTTGTTGATATTAACCGCTTTTAATGGAGATCTTCGCGCTCTTCTTGGAGGGCTTTCTCTTGGCTCGTGCAATTCAGCACTATCTTCTGTAGTTATCGTAGCGGTTGTGGTAGTAGTCGTTGTATAATTTCCGGTATCTGGATTTGTACTTGAATTATTTCGTCTAATATCAGCTTTCGGAGGTTCCCCGTCGATGGATTGCGTAGAACAACTCTCGCTGTCGTACCGAAGTCTGCTCTTTCTTGCTGGCGGAGCTTCTTTCGGAGGACTTGGAAATAATGGAAGTTTTTGAGGGCTTTGGTTGTTAGATTTGAGAACATTGATTAGAGGTGATTTATCTGTCGATGGTTTCGTAATGATCTTTCTTGGTCGTTTTCGACCAGAATCCATTGTATCGGGTTCGCTTATCATCGAATCGCGCGACTTCATACTTGAGGCATCATCAATGGAAAGGGTTCTCCAATTCTCGTCGTCTTTGGAGTTGTATACATCAATTGACTTAAATGGGTCTTCTGAAGCAAATGATTCACTACTGAGTGTGCCTCTGAAGTGAAGAGGTCTTATAATAGGAGATTCTCCCATAGGAATTTTATTCGGTTCCGGTACATTTGGAATCGTTATTTCTGGTTTTGGTAATTTCTTAACGGCACTTTTCTTTTTCGATGCTCTCTTCTTTTTTGTTTCGCTTGCAGTTGATTGCGTGTCTTCTGCAACTTTTTGTTCAAAATCTATTTCATTATCACTGTCATTGTTTGGTGCTGCTACTGATTTCGCAGTATTTTTTGTTTTCTTTTTGTGTTTGTGCTTCTTCTGTTTATCGTCTGCATCCTGATTTTCTATCTCGTTGAATTGTTTTTCATTTTGCTCTTCAATGATATTATTAGATTCAGGACTTCCTGATTTCGGTAGTAATATGTCACTACTGCAGCTTTTAAGGGCTTCCATTTGCTCTTTTGCTGCTAAAACTTTTCGAACAGATAATTTGTGTTTTTTCGCTTTTGAAGTATGATTGTTTTGAGAATCGTTCTTGCTACTTTGGGACGAACTTATATTATCCTTCTGGAGATTGGGGCGTTTTGATTCCCCTCCTTCCATACTTTACAAAAAAATAATCGTACATGTAAAGAAAACCGTTTTCGTTTTACAATTGACTCTATTTGCAAATGGATTTGTTTATAAGATCAAGCACTCAAAGGGGTATATGTACTTTAAGGTGGCCGATTCTGGTGGAAAAGTGCTGGGAAACGTTCCCCGAGGTAATAAAATCTGGTTTTTATGGTAATAAATTTTTTTTCATTTTTTTATTTTCAAAATATTTTTGGAGAAGAAAAAGTTGTTTCCCAGATGATTTGATAATGGATTATGTTTCTACTATTCATATAGGAGCATACTATCCTGTATTCATCCAATTCCCATACCTTCTGGTATCACCACATCTGTGATTCTTTCACCAGATTTTCCTCTCAATTTTTTTACAAAATCTCTCAATTTCTTTACAAAAGTTCTCAATTTTCACCATACCTCATCCAAAATCTGGGGAAAAACATACGTGTTCCTCATATACTTGGGATACACCGAACTTCTCGGGCAATGGATCATCATATGATATCAATGCGAATTTCACAGTAATAATGATTTTCCATCAGATTCAGTATCCTGTGATTGAATGGGAAAGATTTGAACAAATAGTCAACAATGAATCTAATGTAATTCTTGGTATACAGTATAAACACTTAAGATCAATTGTTTACCTTCAGATATTTTAAATCCAGATTCGAAAAAAACTCATCAACTTACCTTTATACAAAGAATTTCATCCATATTTTAAATATTATGCATGTTCTATCATTACCAAAGGTTTAAATTAATTGAATTAGAGCAAACTATTTTTATTATTAGTAAATTTACTTTGCTAACTGCATATATCATTTTTTTTGTTACTTCAAACAAAACTGTACTTACAGATTTAAAAAATTAAGCAAATCAAATTATATTTAAATTTCAATATTTGAATAAAACCATTTTAATTAAATAACTTAGGTGCTTTTTCAAAATAATACTGATTCCAAAACTTTAATATCTTAATAAAATGAAATTTGATCCACTTTTAAAAACTGTAATATTTGAAGTGTAAAATTGGTAGATAATGTATAAATTATTAAACTAATTGGTTTATAAAGTTATTAAATTATTTGAATAAAATTTCGAAATACCAAGAGGAAATCAATGAACAAAGAAAAAAACAGAAAGAGAAGGAGAAAATAAAAGGAAAAAGGAGGAAAGGAAAGAAAAAGGAATAATAATATAGGGCATATTTCATAAATGGCGACATTAACTTTGTGATGTTCATGGCCGGAGGCCTGATTTTTTTACAAGATTATTTTTTCCCCACTGGCTTTTCCCAGATTTTGAGTTTATCAACCAGAAACGACCACCTTATGTACTTGAAAGTATCAAGATCATTCGCAAAAAGATAAGGAGTTGAGTATCTAAAATATTTGCTCATTCGTAATATCAGCACATATTGTTGGATTTCAGTTGAAGATTATTCGGTGTGTCAATCATACCAAGATGCCTAATTGAATAAAATTGTGAAATTTACCCATTATTCGCAAAAAGATAAGGACGATAAGCCACTATAGGGCCTATGAAACGACTTTATACCAACATATAAAATAATTTCTAATCTTTATTTTTTATTTTTTTTAATCAGTAATCACATTCATGTATATTAATGGAGCTTCGGACCAAAAACTGAACAATGGAATCCTTATGACTATACCATCGTTAGCACGCAAGGAATATTCTCTACCTTCCTTTTTTAATTCACATGGCCGAAGAGATTTTCCTACTAATATCGATATTGTTAAGGGGATTGTATCTAAATTGGGTTTGAATGCAATTTTTGAGTTATACATTGAACAAGATTCGAAAAAAATAAAAATGAAACCTAACGCTTGGTCCACAGAAAAAAATCCACTCACTTTTTTACGTTTTATCCACCAGAAGACATAATGAACACGGAATTACCAAAAAGTTTAGAACAGATAAATGAAGTTCAACAAATGTTTTTGAATTACGATCGAAATAACGAAGAACAGACACGTAAACTTGTTGATTTCATCGAAAATCATGTTTATACCGGTTTACGCGAATTATCAACAAACATTTTTCTTCGACCACAAAAAGTCAAAGATTACGTTCATTTATACTCATTATTATCACGAAACATTAAGATTATTTCATATCACAACTTTGTTTGCACACCAATTTTTTCACATTATTTAATCAAAGAAGGAATCTGTTCGGAATTCGAAGCAACCCAACTTTCATCAATGTTACCTAATTCAACAAATGAATACTATTTAAATCTCTTTGCAGAGTTCATTAGCTTTGCTAATTGTGTAAATCCAGATGCGAAAGAGATTGAATTCATCGACTCATTTATTGATGATAACATCGACAAATTTGTTGAACTCACATCGAAAACGGATTTTGATTATAATGAAAAACTCTTCAAAAATCGTCGTCCAATTTCGTTGATCAACTTATCTGCAATGTATGGCGCAATTAAATGTTTCAAGTATCTTTTAGTTCATAATCCAGACTTGGAAATATTTGTAATTATGCTGTTGTTGGTGGTAACACAGAAATCATCCGTATTCTTAAACAAACAGGTGTTAATTTCAATGATACATCAATTGTTTCATTATACTTCCGTCGTGATGAATTATTTGACTGGCTTCGTTCAGAAACAACCGAAGATAACAACCAAGAAAATCTAAATCATATTGAATACTCTATTACAGAAACACTTTCTATCAAAGCAATTTATTCATTGACAAAGAAAAATCCACTTCTTTGTATCAATGACTGGTTATCAGTTTTTACATTAGATGGTTTAGTTGAACCAGTCCGAGAACTCTCAAAGAACTGTCTGTTCTTGAACTCTCTATTTTACATAATTCGAGATGAAGAAACACTCAACAATTTACTTTTAAATACACCTGAGCCATATTTTAACAAATTGATTAAAGAATCAATTTCCAAAGGCTATCTTTATCACCTCAAAGTTCTTCTTCGTGATTCTAAGTTTGACTTTCTTCGTGCAGACCCAGCAATCATCATCTTAATTCAAAATAATTTCAATGATATTTATGAAGAAGCTCGAACTAGATATTATAGTAGACTTTCACCAGCTATAGCTTATCAGAATTTCCTTAGCAAACTTCCTGTTTATGAAAATATTTCATTTGATGTAATGAAGTATTGTATCAGCATTAATGATATGGCAACTTTCAAAGAACTTGCAGTAAAATTCAGAAATACCGATTATTCATTAGAGCAATTACTTGAATTACTTAAATTATCACCTTTGACATGGTCATTTGCATCAAAAAAGATTGTTGAAAAAGAACCAGATGGATCAGTTTGTATTCCATTAACAAGATATTATTTTATTTCAGAAGATAATGGTATTATTCCTGCACAAGTTGCTGATATCATTATGAAAGATCCCGAATTGCAATCACAACTTACAGCATATGATTGCATCAATTTGTTATCAATGATTAATCAGAATTACACAGATATTTCTCCATTGATTTCTCTTTTGACAAAATTTGGATTGATAGATCAGAAAGATCATATTACAAACAATTCTTTAATCAAAGATGTTCAACAAATCGTTTATAATTCTCCTAAAATTGAACAACTCATCAAAGAAGATATTCTAGGATTCGCCAACATTATTTCACCACATCTTGATTTTATTAAAAATGTCACTGGAATCGAAGTTCCAAAAGAATTTTATGAAAAAGTTGTTCATATTTACATGAATACTGTACATCAACCAGCATATACGACTAAGGTGTTTCCAAATCAACCAGAAAGATCAAATTATTATAAATACTTAGATTTTGTCACATTTCTTACACATCCTATTAACAGGAAACATGTTAATATCATAGAACTTTCTAAGTCAATAATGAATCTTAATTTGATCAAACAATTTGAATATACTGAAGAAGAGATCAATCATCTCAAAACAGTAAAATTCATGAAAGATTATTTGATGTTTAATCAAAAAAATGTCAAATACTTTACTATTAAAGAAATTCTTAACACGAATAATGATTCTACAGTTATCCATGCAGCATTAACTAAAACATTAACCCCTGAAGATGTATCAGCAATTCAAGAATACATTAATTCTAAGTATTCCAATGAATTTTCCAGTCACAAAGAAAAAACATTTGTCAGAACTGAATTCAGACCAATTTTCATAAGAGATGAAATTTGCAATGGTTTTAGCGATAAATTATTATTATATTTCCTTATGCCTGTTGCTGACTTCGATGATATATGCGGAAAAATTTTGGATGCTTTGTTTGCAAGGAATATGAATGACGAAGAGAAATTTAGACTTTTTATGAAAATTCCATATGATAAAAAGGCAATTGAATTCATTATTTCTCGGAAAGAAAAGATTAATAATTCATGTCTGATTGTTTATTCAATGAGGGCGAATACACAAATTGTCGATAAAGGAACTCCAATTGAAGATTTATACTTTGCAAAGTCGTTTAGCATTTATCCATCTCTTAGATATGAAAGTTTGTTTGACTACAAAGTTTCCAAAGCAGCCATGGCTAAAGCATTATTTTATGCTATCTATAATAATAATGAAGCTGCATTTAATCTTTTGATTTCTAAAGGAGCTCCTATCAATGTTATTATAGAAGGAATGACTCCTCTTCAATATGCTATTAGTATCGGTGTAAAGTCTATTGCTTGTAAATTAATGGAATTAGGTGCATCTCTTGGTTTCAATGGAACTAAAACAGCTGCATTTTGTGCAGAGGAATCTGGAGATAAGACAATGATTGAATTGTTTTGTAGCAAAATTAATCTTGATTATGAATCTTTATTCCAAGATATAAGAAAGATTCATATTCCTGATTCAGCAACACCGAAATATCCGGGTATTGATATATTTCAAATCATCAATACAAGTTTTACTAAGTTTTTTTCCCAAATTGATAGATGTTTCAACTGTGCAGCTAAATGGTCCAAAAGAAATATCAATATTCCACAAGTAACTAAATTAATACAAAATGAAATGACGACAGTATCTTCTTTTACTAATTCACTATATATTATGTTATACTTCACTCCTGTTGATATAGCAGCATTTGAAGACATAATTCCAAGAGTATTTTCAATCAGAAGAATACTTCCAGCACATGAAAGACAAGAGGTTTGGGATTTCATTGTAAACAACATCAATGAAAGCAATAAATGGTTTAAGGCTGTTTATTCTGTCATCACAGGGATCAAAATGATTGAAGAAGTTGAAAATCTCTCAGATTTATTGTATATTGCAACACGACTTGGTAATATTGAAATTATTACAGAATTACTTGATAAAGGTGCTCGAATCGAAGATGTTGAAGGCATTTTCAATCGCATGTCTCCATCATTAGAAGCAATCAGCAAAGATCGATCAGACATTTTAGAACTTTTCATTCTTCATGGATTGAAATTTGATCATATCTATTCTATTGACAACTTCACATTGCTCAATGCAAGTATTGAATTCAACTCTACAAAATGCTTTGATCTTTTATTTTCTCAAACATCATTTGGTCATTTTGTTGTTGAAACACCAATGATGAGTGCTCTTCAAACATTCGAACGAACAGGCAACGATTACTTCATCAACAAACTTCTTCCTCAAATTGACACCGAATACGAAAGAATTGTTGATTCATCATTTTGTGACTACTTATTATTCAAATCCGGTCAAATTCCAGAATTCCACTATAATTCAGCTAAAAGACCCAATAATTTACCAAAACCTTCATCTCATTTTAATGATAATTCAAGCAAAATTGCTAATTTGGAGTCATCAGATTTAATTCAAAAAATTTTGGTGTATCAATATCTTTCTGAAACATTATCAACTAACTCCAATCAAAAATTCATTAGAAATCTATCTCGCGAAAAAATATCTAATTTCAAATGGGGCAAAGGTGTTCCCTTTTTACGATTTTAATAAAAAATGTTTATCAATTATCTATTTATTTTTCTCTATAATGTCATACATATCATCAAATATTATTAGTTATGCCCAACTGACTTTAATTCAAATTTCTGACCAATGGCTTGAAGCTTCATTGAATATAACCTTAAACGACGGGCGTAAGAGCACCCTTAAATTTAAATAATCCCATTCAATGATTAATTTTGCACGTCAGGCATCACGACAGACTCGTGAAGTACGCTCCACTGTACCATCGTTAACACGCATTGAAAATCCGGAAATTTACAATGATAATCAGCGAGGCCATATTAGAATTCCCAATAATATTCAAATTATTAATAATATTGTACCAAAATTAAATTTAGGTTCAATTTTTACATTGTATGATCCACAAGATCGTAAAAGAAGTAACAGATCACAAAATCATTGGAACCTAGATAAAAATTCACTCACTGATTTTACATTTTATCCACCAGAAGACATAATGAACACAGAATTACCAAAAAGTTTAGAACAGATAAATGACGTTCAACAAATGTTTTTGAATTACGATCGAAATAACGAAGAGCAGACACGTAAACTTGTTGATTTCATCGAAAATCATGTTTACACAGGTTTACGCGAATTATCAACAAACATTTTTCTTCGACCACAAAAAGTCAAAGATTACGTTCATTTATACTCATTATTCTCACGAAACATTAAGATTATTTCATGTCACAACTTTGTCTGCACACCAATTTTTTCACATTATTTAATCAAAGAAGGAATCTGTTCGGAATTCGAAGCAACCCAACTTTCATCATTGTTACCTAATTCAGCAAACGAACACTACTTAAATCTCTTTTCAGAGTTCATTAAATTTTCGAATTGTGTAAATCCAGATGCGAAAGATATTGAATTTATTGACTCATTTATTGATGATAACATCGACAAATTTGTTGAACTCACATCGAAAACGGATTTTGATTATAATGAAAAACTCTTCAAAAATCGTCGTCCAATTTCGTTGATCAACTTATCTGCAATGTATGGCGCAATTAAATGTTTCAAGTATCTTTTAGTTCATAATCCAGACTTGGAAATATTTGTAATTATGCTGTTGTTGGTGGTAACACAGAAATCATCCGTATTCTTAAACAAACAGGTGTTAATTTCAATGATACATCAATTGTTTCATTATACTTCCGTCGTGATGAATTATTTGACTGGCTTCGTTCAGAAACAACCGAAGATAACAACCAAGAAAATCTAAATCATATTGAATACTCTATTACAGAAACACTTTCTATCAAAGCAATTTATTCATTGACAAAGAAAAATCCACTTCTTTGTATCAATGACTGGTTATCAGTTTTTACATTAGATGGTTTAGTTGAACCAGTCCGAGAACTCTCAAAGAACTGTCTGTTCTTGAACTCTCTATTTTACATAATTCGAGATGAAGAAACACTCAACAATTTACTTTTAAATACACCTGAGCCATATTTTAACAAATTGATTAAAGAATCAATTTCCAAAGGCTATCTTTATCACCTCAAAGTTCTTCTTCGTGATTCTAAGTTTGACTTTCTTCGAGCTGACAAAAATATCATCTCAGACCTTGAAAAAAATACAAAGATTTTTACAATGAAATTCAATCCCACTATTATGGGCATTTATCTATGGAAAAAGCCTATAAGAACTTCTGTGATAAGCTTCCTGTTCATGAAAGTATTTCATTTGATGTAATGAAGTATTGTATCAGGATTAATGATATGGCAACTTTCGACGAACTCACAATAAATTTCAGAAATACCGATTATTCATTAGAGCAATTACTTAAATTACTCAAATTATCACCTTTGACATGGTCATTTGCATCAAAAAAGATTGTTGAAAAAGAACCAGATGGGTCAGTTTGTATTCCATTACCAAGATATTATTTTATTTCAGAAGATAATGGTATTATTCCTGCACAAGTTGCTGATATCATTATGAAAGATCCCGAATTACAATCACAACTTACAGCATATGATTGCATCAATTTGTTATCAATGATTAATCAGAATTACACAGATATTTCTCCCTTGATTTCTCTTTTAACAAAATTTGGATTGATTACTGATCCAAGTCAAATTAATGAAAATACATCATTAACAGATATCCAAGAAATTGTTTATAATTCTCCTAAAATTGATGAACTTATCAAAGAAGATATTGAAGGATTCGCGAATATTATTGCACCACATCATGATTTTATCACTAAAGTCACTGGAATTGAAGTTTCAAAAGAATTTTATGATAAAATTGTCCATATTTATGTCAATGATGTCGATCATCAATCACGATATTTTTCAAGGAAAAATTCTATGAAAAAAGGAACAAAAGAATCGACTCTAATGGAGAAATATTTTGAAGCATTTCTTACACATCCTATTAATAGAAAGCATGTTGATTTCAAACAATTGTGCATATCAAATATGAATATTTCGGTGATCAGGCAATTTGAATATACTGAAGAAGAAATTTCATATCTAAAAACTATACCATTCTTGAGAGAACACTTGTTATACAATCATAATAATTTCAAATTCTATACTATTCAAGAAATTATTGAATTGGGAAATTATGAAGTAACAATCAATGCAATTTTGGCTAAACCATTAACACCAGAAGAGATAACAGTAATAAAAGTATTTTTGAGACCAAAAATTTTGGTGATGATGCAAATCAATGACCAAAGTGATTCTGAAAAATTCTTTATGAGAACTATTTTCAAGAGAAAAGAGCTCTGTAACGAATTTCCAAATAATATTTTACTATATTTCTTTATACCAGTAGTTACATTCGATGAGGAATGCAGCAATATTTTGGATGTCTTGATTACAGGGGATTTAGCTGACGAACAGAAATTTGATATTTTTATGAAAATTCCAATTAATCAAAAGACAAAAGATTTCATCCTATCTCGGAAAGAAAAGATCGATAAATCGTGCTTGATTATTTTTTCTGCGAGAGCTTCAATGCACATTGTTGAGAAAGGAACTCCAATTGGAGATATATACTTTGCAAGGATTTTTAGCGTATTGGACAGGATTAAATTTACAAATCGTATATATTATCACTTGCTGTATATTTTATATATACTCTTCATATTCTGGAAGAAATTTTTTAGTTATGAGCTAAATTTCTTCCCAAATAGCCGCAACATCAGTATTCCAAGATTGGTCGCTTATTAGAACTCTCTTTTTATTACTCATCATTCTTTAAAAATTGCATTTTGTGGATATTGAGCTAAAATTGCCATTCTTGAATCAAAAATCATCGTAGGTTCTAGGATTAATTGTTCCATGAAAAATATAGAACAAATTCACTAGTCATAATATTTTTTTTGGTAAACTGGTTATTATATCAGTACTGAAAAAATTGAATTGATTGATTGACTTCAAAAAAAATGTTACGGCCACCTCAGCGCTTACTTGGTAACCAGCCGGCACAATTCAGAACTGATTTAAAGGAATATTCATCTGCAATTGTTCCGTTGTTAGCGCGTAAAGAACATCATAATGATTCAAATTCGAATACTAATAACCCAGCCAGAGCCCTTTCAAATAACGAACGCATTATAAATATAACATCACAACTCAATTTACGTCAGATTTTTAAATTATATGATACACAAGTAAGATCATCAATAGATATTGGAACCAACAATCGCGATCCACTCACTGATTTTACATTTTATCCACCAGAAGACATAATGAACACAGAATTACCAAAAAGTTTAGAACTGATAAATGACGTTTAACAAATGTTTTTGAATTACGATCGAAATAACGAAGAACAGACACATAAACTTGTTGATTTCATCGAAAATCATGTTTATACCGGTTTACGCGAATTATCAACAAACATTTTTCTTCGACCACAAAAAGTCAAAGATTACGTTCATTTATACTCATTATTATCACGAAACATTAAGATTATTTCATGTCACAACTTTGTCTGCACACCAATTTTTTCACATTATTTAATCAAAGAAGGAATTTGTTCGGAATTCGAAGCGAAACAGTTATCTGCAAGATTGCCAAATCAATCAGATATGTTTTATTTACATTCATTTTCTGAATTCATTAATTCTTCTAACTGCCAACTTCCAAATTCTCATGAAATTGAGTTCATTGAATCATTTATTGAAGATGACTTAAACAAATTGGTCGAACTCACATCAGCCACAAACTTCGACTATTCTCATAAAATATTCCAAGACGGTAAGAGTGTTTCACTGATCAACTTATCTGCAATGTATGGTGCAATTAAATGTTTCAAGTATCTTTTAGTTCATAATCCAGATTTACAAGATATTTGTAATTATGCTGTTGTTGGTGGTAACACAGAAATCATCCGTATTCTTAAACAAGCAGGTGTTAATTTCAATGATACATCAATTGTTTCATTATACTTCCGTCGTGATGAATTATTTGACTGGCTTCGTTCCGAAACAACCGAAGATAACAACCAAGAAAATCAAAACGGAAATCAAAACCAGAATCAAAATCATATTGAATACTCTATTACAGAAACACTTTCTATCAAAGCAATTTATTCATTGACAAAGAAAAATCCACTTCTTTGTATCAATGACTGGTTATCGGTTTTTACATTAGATGGTTTAGTTGAACCAGTCCGAGAACTCTCAAAGAACTGCATGTTTTCAAACTCTCTTTTCTTTTTGATTCGAGATGAAGAATCACTCAACAATTTACTTTTGAAAGCTCCACAAAAGTACTTCAATAAATTAATTTCTTATTCAATATCAAAAGAATACTTATTCCATCTCCGATTTCTCATTCATCATCCTAAATTTGATTACATCAAAATTGATAAAAACATAATAACAGAAATTAATAATAGATACAAAAATATTTATGATGAAATTCAAGCCATTATTAGTTCAGTAATCTCACCAGAGAAAGCATATCAGAATTTCTTGCATAACCTTCCCATCAATGAAAATATTGTTTTTGATCTCATGAAACATTGTATTCAAATCAATGATATATTGACATATAATGAAGTTTCAAAGAAATATTCATATGTCAATTTCTCACTAGAGCAATTACTTGAATTACTTAAATTTTCACCATTTACATGGTCATTTGCATCAAAAAAGATTGTTGAAAAAGAACCAGATGGATCAGTTTGTATTCCATTAACAAGATATTATTTTATTTCAGAAGATAATGGTATTATTCCTGCACAAGTTGCCGATATCATTATGAAAGATCCCGAATTACAATCACAACTTACAGCATATGATTGTATCAACTTGTTATCAATGATTCAACTTGAATACACAGATATTTCTCCCTTGATTTCTCTTTTAACAAAGTTTGGATTGATTAGCGATCCAGATTATGTTTCAAGACTTTACCTAAAGAATGATATTCAAGAAATTGTTTATCAATCACCTCAAATTGATCAACTCATTAAAGAAGATGTTGACAACTCTATAAGCATCATTCCTGTTCAACCGATGTTTATCAAAAAAAGTCAATGGAACTGAAGTATCAAAAGAATTTTTTGATAAATTTGTCCATATTTATATTGGATTAGATCAAATCTATAAACATAACGATGAATTTCTCAATTTTATCACAAATCCAGTAAATCGGAAGCATGTTGATATCAAAGAACTTTGCAAGTCAGAAAAGAATGTTCCTATCATCAAACTCTTCGAATATACACAAGAAGAATTCGAATATTTGAAAACAGTCGATTTCATGAGAGGCTATTTGCTGTATAATCCAAACAATGATAAATTCTTTTCCATTAAAGAAATTCTTAAATACTATTATACTCGAACAATTATTCATGCAATTTTAACAAAACAATTGACTGATGAAGATATCAATTTAATTGCAGAATTTATCAAAGACAAACTTTTTTCTGAAAATGGCAGGAATCCAAAAGCCCTTTTCAATTGTTTCGATTTAAGGGCGGTTTTCATGAGGGAAGAGATCTATAATGCTTTTGACATATATACTTTGATAGAATTCGCATTAAATCTTAAAAAATTTGATGTAATTTCTGTGAAAGTTTTGAATCACTTAATTACAAGGAAATTTGAAGACCAAGACAAAGCATTTTTATTCATTTTGCTTCCAATAAATAAAGAAGTATATAATTACATAATTTTCCGGAGAGAAATAATCAATGATTCTTGTTTGATTCTTTATTCAATCAGATCAAATACTCAAATTGTTGAGAAAGGAACTCCACTTGAAGATCCCTATGTAGAGGAGCTATTCCAATTAGATGTGAAATTTAATTATGAAATATTATTTGATTATAAAGTTACAAAACGTGCACTAACAAAGTCATTGATGGCATCTATTCATGCAAAAAACATTGATGCGGTTAATTTCCTTATTTCAAAAGGTGTACCTGTAAATATTATAATCGACTCACAAACTCCTCTTCAATATTCAATTAGTCAGAGTTTTATTCCAGGAATTGAAGCACTTTTGAATCATGGAGCATCTCTTGAATTCAATGGAACTCAAACTGCAGCAGTTTGTGCAGAAATTTCCCAAAATGCCGATATCATTAAGCTTATTTGCAGCAAAATCAACATTAAATATGAATGTCTTTTCTCAGACATCAGAAAGATTCATGTCAGCAAAATAAATCAATCCAGCATTCCACCTCTGAAAGAAGACATCATTAAAAGTGTCAATATCATCAACTCCAATAAGCAATCATCATTTGGTTTATCTCTTAATTTTATCAATAATAATAATAATAGCTTCCCCGATGAGATTATATTTGGAATGTTCAGAAATCTTGTCATAGGAAAACGAGATAATACTAATCTCTTCAATACTATCAAGAGTGAAATGCTTATTGGAAAAACATTTAATAATCCATTAAGGATCATTACTATGTTTGCACCAGTTGATTTAACATCTATTCAGCATCTCTTTGCTCATCAAATGAAAGAAGAGATGGAGTTCCAGTCCAAACTCGTCAAGAAGTATGGAACTTTATCTTGAACAACATCAATGACAGTTCTCCTTATTTCAAAACCGCATACTCTGTAATTACAGGTGTCAACATGATTGAACCAGTTGAAAATCTCTCAGATTTATTATATCTTGCAACACGACTCGGCAACATCAAAATTATTACAGCATTACTTGATAAAGGTGCTCGAATCGAAGATGTTGAAGGTATTTTTAATCGCATGTCTCCATCATTAGAAGCAATCAGCAAAGATCGATCAGACATTTTAGAACTTTTCATTCTTCATGGATTGAAATTTGATCATATCTATTCTATTGACAACTTCACATTGCTTAATGCAAGTATTGAATTCAACTCTACAAAATGTTTTGATCTTTTATTTTCTCAAACATCATTTGGTCATTTTGTTGTTGAAACACCAATGATGAGTGCTCTTCAAACATTCGAACGAACAGGCAACGATTACTTCATCAACAAACTTCTTCCTCAAATTGACACCGAATACGAAAGAATTGTTGATTCATCATTTTGTGACTACTTATTATTCAAATCCGGTCAAATTCCAGAATTCCGCTATAATTCAGCTAAAAGACCATTATATAAAGTCCGAGGTGATATAAATAGCTCGCGTTTATTCAGTAATTTGATCAGGACAAATCCAGTACAAATTGGTTTGATTTATGAACTCATTAATAACTCAAGAGTATCAGAAGAAATCAATCAAAAATTCCTTGAAATATATTAATGCTATAGGGATTGAAACATTTTTACTTCCAGATGGAAGAATGAATACATGTAACAATGGAAATTGTTATTTTCTAATCAAGATTATTGATGAATTCACCGTCAAAGAGATTGTTTATAATAAAATGATTTCCTATTTGTTTGTTTTTATTTCAATAAACTTCTCATAAAATTACTTTTTAATTGCTTTTATATAAAAGTATAAACATTTTAACCTATGAGTTTTGGTGGCTCTTTACTATTATTTGCTGCATTATGAAGAGCGGTTCATCCCTTTTTTTGGAGCTGATATCCAATAATATAGTTGCGTCGTTTCCAGTGGAAACGTAAAAGCGGAGGAAAATCTGACACTAAAATTTTTCTTTCCTTGGTCTCTTTTTTTCGATTTTCTATGATATCTGTTTGAAATAAATAGCTACTTATGCGACATAATATGCAGAGAAATATGTGTACAATATGAATGCATAGCAAAATCTATGACATATTAAGTTTTTCTTCAAGATTTCGAAATCTTAAGGTCTGAAAAAATCTCGGATTTCGACGCCGCTTATGGTACATATGAAATCAATACTACTAATACTTAAATGTAGTATGCTGCGTTTGATCTAAAGCACTTCTAATGTTAGAGAAACACTGACTTTTGTTCACCTTTTTTCAGAATCAGTACATAAATAATAGAGTATTGACATCAATACTATATAATCATATATTATATCGCATATACGCATTATGTGTTGCATTTGAATCTTTGAAACTTGAATCAAGAAACCTACTTGTGAATTTTTTGACAAATTAAGACGATGACTTTTACTTGAGGACGATTCGACCAATATTCAATAAGTGAATTTAAAACGTGTACAATCATATAGTGCACTATATGAGTAATATATATGAATGTATGGATTCTGCTAGTTATGAATTACACCATAGAGAATTTTTGCATTTTTCTTTATCCTTTTATTTGCATTAATTTTCAGATTTCTATATGTCGTTTTCCTTAATTGATCGATAAGAATGCAATGTTATATCTTAGTTCCTATTATTACATCTTCCCACTCTTAATTGGCACCTTAAAATATGCTCGATATATCCAAAAAAGCTTAATGTCAATTTTTTAATACCGATAAAAAACAAATTTATTATAGATCCGAGCACACAATTTCAAGCGCTGGAAGATGGTTCCTATAACATATAATCAATAACTTTACAATATGTCCTATGGCACTGAGAAATTTTAATCTAATGATAAGTTGGTTGAGAAGGATTTAGACTTTTTCGTAACTAAAAGAAAAATGCAAAAATTCTCTATGGTGTAATTCATAACTAGCAGAATCCATACATTCATATATATTACTCATATAGTGCACTATATGATTGTACACGTTTTAAATTCACTTATTGAATATTGGTCGAATCGTCCTCAAGTAAAAGTCATCGTCTTAATTTGTCAAAAAATTCACAAGTAGGTTTCTTGATTCAAGTTTCAAAGATTCAAATGCAACACATAATGCGTATATGCGATATAATATATGATTATATAGTATTGATGTCAATACTCTATTATTTATGTACTGATTCTGAAAAAAGGTGAACAAAAGTCAGTGTTTCTCTAACATTAGAAGTGCTTTAGATCAAACGCAGCATACTACATTTAAGTATTAGTAGTATTGATTTCATATGTACCATAAGCGGCGTCGAAATCCGAGATTTTTTCAGACCTTAAGATTTCGAAATCTTGAAGAAAAACTTAATATGTCATAGATTTTGCTATGCATTCATATTGTACACATATTTCTCTGCATATTATGTCGCATAAGTAGCTATTTATTTCAAACAGATATCATAGAAAATCGAAAAAAAGAGACCAAGGAAAGAAAAATTTTAGTGTCAGATTTTCCTCCGCTTTTACGTTTCCACTGGAAACGACGCAACTATAATAAGTCTGATATAAACATTGGACACACGATCAGACATGGATCTTACTATAAAAATTTTGGAAAATGGTCAATCCTCATCTGGCCATTTTCAAATTTTTTGAAAAACATAACATTATAAAAAATAAAATGACTTTATTATAGTTCTTTCACATTTATTTGGGGAAAAAAATTCTGATAATTGCAAATGTGGAATCGCAACCAGCTAGGGAATGGCTGGGGTACAACTGCAAGCATTAAAAAGGAAGAAAGTGATGATTTATCTGCTACTGTGCTATCATTAGCACGAAAGGCTTCACAAACAAGTTCTTCCAGATTTAACAACAATAACAATTGTATTAAAAATATAGTATCTGCGTTAAACCTTGTCACAACTTTTGCATATTATGATACATCAGAACCAAAACCTAAGGATACTTCACATTTTGGATTTGGACAACGCGCCAACGAAAGAAGTTCACTCACTCTTTTTACATTTTATCCACCAGAAGACATAATGAACACGGAATTACCAAAAAGTTTAGAACTGATAAATGAAGTTCAACAAATGTTTTTGAATTACGATCGAAATAACGAAGAACAGACACGTAAACTTGTTGATTTCATCGAAAATCATGTTTACACAGGTTTACGCGAATTATCAACAAACATTTTTCTTCGACCACAAAAAGTCAAAGATTACGTTCATTTATACTCATTATTATCACGAAACATTAAGATTATTTCATGTCACAACTTTGTCTGCACACCAATTTTTTCACATTATTTAATCAAAGAAGGAATCTGTTCGGAATTCGAAGCAACCCAACTTTCATCATTGTTACCTAATTCAGCAAACGAACACTACTTAAATCTCTTTTCAGAGTTCATTAAATTTTCGAATTGTGTAAATCCAGATGCGAAAGATATTGAATTTATTGACTCATTTATTGATGATAACATCGACAAATTTGTTGAACTCACATCGAAAACGGATTTTGATTATAATGAAAAACTCTTCAAAAATCGTCGTCCAATTTCGTTGATCAACTTATCTGCAATGTATGGCGCAATTAAATGTTTCAAGTATCTTTTAGTTCATAATCCAGACTTGGAAATATTTGTAATTATGCCGTTGTTGGTGGTAACACAGAAATCATCCGAATTCTTAAACAAGCAGGTGTTGATTTCAACGACACATCAATTGTTTCATTATACTTCCGTCGTGATGAATTATTTGACTGGCTTCGTTCCGAAACAACCAAAGAAGTCAATCAAAACCAAAACCAAAATCAGAATTTAAATCAGAATCAAAACCAGAATCAAAATCATATTGAATACTCTATTACAGAAACACTTTCTATCAAAGCAATTTATTCATTGACAAAGAAAAATCCACTTCTTTGTATCAATGACTGGTTATCAGTTTTTACATTAGATGGTTTAGTTGAACCAGTCCGAGAACTCTCAAAGAACTGTCTATTTTCAAACTCTCTTTTCTTTTTGATTCGAGATGAAGAATCACTCAACAATTTACTTTTGAAAGCTCCACAAAAGTACTTCAATAAATTAATTTCTTATTCAATATCAAAAGAATACTTATTTCATCTCTGATTTCTCATTCATCATCCTAAATTTGATTACATCAAAATTGATAAAAACATAATAACAGAAATTAAAAACAATTACAAGGATATATATGATGAAATTCAAGCCATTATTAGTTCAGTAATCTCTCTAGAGAAAGCATATCAGAATTTCGTGAATAACCTTCCTATCAATGAAAAAATCGTCTTTGATCTTATGAAATATTGTATTCAAATCAATGATATTCCTACTTTCAACGATATAGCTTCTAAATTCAAATACATTGAATTCTCATTAGAACAATTACTTGAATTACTTAAATTATCACCATTTACATGGTCATTTGCATCGGAAAAGATTGTTGAAAAAGAACCAGATGGATCAGTTTGTATTCCATTAACAAGATATTATTCGATTTCAAAAGATAATGGTATTATTCCAGCACAAGTTGCTGATATCATTATGAAAGATCCCGAATTACAATCACAACTCACAGCATATGATTGCATCAACTTGTTATCAATGATTCAGCCTAAATATTCAGATATCAATCCATTAATTTCTTTACTGAAGAAATTCAAATTGATCGATGATCAATTTTCAATGAACAAGATTTATTACCATATTTATCAATCACCTCAATTTGATCAGCTCATGAAAGAAGATATTATTGGGGTTGCAAACATAATCCCAATTCGGCCGACTTTTATTAAAAAAGTTATTGGAATAGAAGTTCCAAAAGAATTTTTTGATAAAATCGTCAACATTTACATCACAATGAGCATCCCTTCAACAAGTAACCTGACAAATGCAGAAGATTTTGTCAATTTCATTACAAATCCAGTAAATCGGAAACATGTTAATATCAAAGAACTTTGCAAATCAGCAAAGAATATTCATGTCATCAAACTCTTCGAATATACACAAGAAGAGTATGAATATTTGAAAACGGTCGATTTTATGAACAATTTGTTGTTATTGTTTAATCCAAATAATGATAAATTCTTTTCTATCCCAGAAATTCTCAAATGTAATATTTCTAAAACGATCATTCATGCAATTTTAACGAAACAATTGAGTGACAATGATATCAATGACATCCAAAAGTTCGTTTCAAATGATGGATCAAATAATTGGATCAAAGAATACAGTTCAAGCATTAAACTTGATTACAGAACTATTTTAACTAAAGATGATATTCGAAACCATTTTAACACAAAAATGTTATCGAATTATCTTGTAAGAAGTTATGAAGTCGATGAAATTTTCATCAAACTTTTCGATACTTTGTTTTCAAGGGATTTAGATGATAATTCTAAGGCGAACATATTCATAAATCTCTCGACAGGCAATAATTTCTATGATTTTGTATGTTCTCGACGTGATAATATTGATCCTTCATGTTTGATTGTTTATTCAGTAAGAGCACAAAAGGAACATCTTGTCAAAAATGGAACTCCTGTTGGAGATCTCTATGTTGAAAAGTTATTCCTTTCAAAACAAAAGTTTATCTATGAAAATTTGTTTGAATACGAAGTTTCAAAACATGGAATGGCCAAAGCATTGTTTAGCAGTATTCAAGCTAATAACATTGAAGCAATCCAGTTCTTGATATCGAAAGGTGTTCCAGTAAATATGATCTTGGATTCAATGACACCACTTCAATATGCAATAACAAGAAATTTCGTAGAAGGTGTTCAACTCTTACTAAGTCTTGGAGCTTCGTCTGAATTCAATGGATTACAAACAGCTATTTCCTGCGCAGAAAAATCATCCAGACATGAATTAATTAAATTATTTTGCAGTCATATCAACATTGAATATGAATCTCGTTTATCTGATATCAGAAATATTCACATCAGTATTAATGATGCAACAAAAGTTCCTCCAATTAAATATGACCTCATAAAATGTGCCAATTTTCAAACAAAAGGGGCAATTACTACTCGTAATTTTATGCAGTCATATGATGATGCTAAATATGAATATCCCGATGAAAATATTTCAGTATTGTTGAATCATAATCGTTTAAATTTTGGTGGCAATGAAAAAGTCATGAAAATTATCCAGAAAGAGATGATGTTAGCATTATCATTTGTCAATGCATTGAGGATCATTGTTTTGTTCGCTCCAAATGATTTAACAATATTGCAGCCACTTATTTCATCTTTAATAGAAAAAAGAGATCGAATCCCTGACCAAACCAAACGACTTTTCTGGAATTTCATTGATAAAAACTTAGCAATAAGTAGTCCACAATTCAGAGCTGTTTATTCTGTTATCACAGGAATTAAAATGATTGAACCGATTGAAGGTCTCTCAGATTTATTGTATGTTGCAACAAGACTTGGCAACATCGAAATCATCGAAGAATTGCTTGATAAAGGTGCTCGAATCGAAGATGTTGAAGGTATTTTTAATCGCATGTCTCCATCATTAGAAGCAATCAGCAAAGATCGATCAGACATTTTAGAACTTTTCATTCTTCATGGATTGAAATTTGATCATATCTATTCTATTGACAACTTCACATTGCTCAATGCAAGTATCGAATTCAACTCTACTAAATGTTTTGATCTTTTATTTTCTAAGTCATCATTTGGTCATTTTGTTGTTGAAACACCAATGATGAGTGCTCTTCAAACATTCGAACGAACAGGCAACGATTACTTCATCAACAAACTTCTTCCTCAAATTGACACCGAATACGAAAGAATTGTTGATTCATCATTTTGTGACTACTTATTATTCAAATCCGGTCAAATTCCAGAATTCCACTATAATTCAGCTAAAAGACTTGATAGTTTACAACAATCTCCAACTTTCTTCAATTCTTTAGATATTCCAATTGTTTTGCGGACATCTGACTTATCCCAGAAATTACTTGTATCTGAATTCATTAAACACTCGAATAAAGAGAATGAACCTACACAGAATTTCCTTGAAAATCTCACCGAAGAAAGTGATACCCCAGGTAATGGATGGATTGGTATAATGAACCGTAGGCGCCATCATTGATAATAAAAATTTTATAATATTCCTAATTAATGCTGTACTTACTACTTTCTGACACCCTATCAAAAATTATACTTGGATGGACTTGAAAGCATGTCAAAAAGTGATAATACACCTTTAGAATAATATTGAGAATTTTTCATGGTTTGTATCATTGATTATATCTAGTTTTCTTTGAGAAATTGTAGTTTTGAAAATCTAGCATGACAAGCATGATAGCAGGCTTCTTCTGCATGATCTCCTAATATATGAGACTCTGACAAAAAGGTTGCACAAGTTCCAAGAGGCACAAATGATTTTTGACACTTTACATATGACGTCGTAAACTTATCAATATTGAATGAAAACTGTTAAAACAGTGAACTGACAAAAACACCCGAAGTTTTGAGTATCTTAAATTTCTATGCAAAGCTAAGAGTAACATCTAAGGCTAAGGATCTCGTATGGAGAAAAATCTTCTCCAACTCTAAACTTCAGTTTGGAGACACTTTACAAATTGTAAACTTCAAATTGGCAAAATATATATCTCAATTTGTGCTCAAACTTGATATATAGAAAGTACTTAACATTTAATTAAGAATTGGCAAATTATATCAAGGAATATTTTTGTAAATTCATGAATAATATAAATGAAAGTAATCAACATTGAAATGCGAAAGCAAACTCCCTTAGGCTAAACTGATATTATTGGGAATCAAATAAAAATATTTTAGATTTTATTTTATCGATAATTTAAGAGAGATCATTAATAGATTAGATGAGAAGTATTGTAGTTTCATTCGTATTATCAAATAAAGATTGTTTTAAATTGAAAATGCATAAAAAATCTGTGATATGATATTTTGTGGTAGTGACTAATATCTATAGGTGAAATATAATATAAACTCGCCATAAATACTGAGTAAATATCCAAGAAATAAAAATTCAAATAATATATCTAAACAAACATTGGAACTATCTCTTGGGATCAGTAGATCATTGAAATCCCAAAAATATTGCCCATAGGAAGTTTCCATGAAAACGAAGGCAATGCCCATCTCCAAAGCTTCTCCATTTCTCCATCTCCACCAAAATTGAATACTTTCTCCACGTCTCCATGGAGAAAATGTGAGGTGAACTCATTGGGAGTTTTGACATATCAAACTTTACAAATCGAATGGTTTGTAAAGTTAAAATCTGACATTTTGATAAGAAACTAGGGGGTAATATTTGTAAAAAATGGGTATAATTTACATTAAAATTTACAAAATTGGAGAAGCTTATATTTTGGAATTTGGAGCTCCCAGCCGTTATTTCTCCAAACGAGATCCTTATCTAAGGTCCATGCTAATACTTTATAAGCAATTTATTTAAAAATTTTATGAATCTGATTCATACTGTTTTTTTTTTTCAGAAAAATTTTAATTGTTCATAATTATTCAATATGATGGATCCATCTTTTCAAGGTCCGATGTCCGTTGTCCCTAGATCTGTTCCATATTTATCTCGCATGAATATTTATCAAAATACCATCGCAAATCGCACGGATTTAGTCGATTTTGATCCTACTGCTTCATTGATATTTCGGTTAGGTATATATAATGTTCTTTCATTATATGACACAAAAAATACATCATCACAAACATCTCAAACTGAGAATAATATTGGATTAAATTCACCGAATGGTCTTACATTTTACCCACCAGAAGACATAATGAACACGGAATTACCAAAAAGTTTAGAACTGATAAATGAAGTTCAACAAATGTTTTTGAATTACGATCGAAATAACGAAGAGCAGACACGTAAACTTGTTGATTTCATCGAAAATCATGTTTACACAGGTTTACGCGAATTATCAACAAACATTTTTCTTCGACCACAAAAAGTCAAAGATTACGTTCATTTATACTCATTATTATCACGAAACATTAAGATTATTTCATGTCACAACTTTGCATGCACTCCAATTTTTTCACATTATTTAATCAAAGAAGGAATCTGTTCGGAATTCGAAGCGAAACAGTTATCTGCAAGATTGCCAAATCAATCTGATATGTTTTATCAACTGTCATCAATGTTGGGTTATTCATCAACCGAATTTATGTCAAATCCCGAAGCATTCCCTAATTTCTATTTGAAAGAATATTCAGAGCTTATTAAAGGTGCAAATTGTCATGATCCATCACCAAAAGAACTTGATATAATTAATATATTTATTGAAGATAATATTGAAGAGTTAGTTAAAATTTCTTCTCAGCCAGATTTTCATTATGATACCAAAGTATTCAATAGTAATATTTCATTGATCAACTTATCTGCAATGTATGGCGCAATTAATTGTTTCAAGTATCTTTTAGTTCATAATCCAGACTTGGAAATATTTGTAATTATGCTGTTGTTGGTGGTAACACAGAAATCATCCGTATTCTTAAACAAGCAGGTGTTGATTTCAATGATACATCAATTGTTGCATTATTCTTCCGTCGTGATGAATTATTTGACTGGCTTCGTTCCGAAACAACCAAAGAAGTCAATCAAAATCAAAACCAAAATCAGAACATATTTTCAAACCAAAGAATATTTCCCGGCCAAGATGATATATACTGTATTACTGAAACGCTTACTATCCGAGCAATTTATTCATTAATGAAGAAAAATACTCTTCTTTATACAAATGACTGGCTATCAGTATTTATATTAGATGGCCTCATTGAACCAGCCAGAGAAATCTCAAAGAACTGCATGTTTTCAATTCCTCTGTTTTTCTTAATAAGAGATGAAGAAACTCTTAATAATCTACTTTTGATTGCATCCAATATTTTCTTTCAACAATTAATATGCAAAGCAATCAATGATGGTTATATTTATCATCTCCGAATCATGATTCACCATCCTAATTTCAGCTTTTCTAAAATTAATGCATCGATTTTATCTGAAATTGAATGCAAACACAAGGATATTTATCAAGAAATCATAGCTTTATTGAATGCAATGACCACTGTTGAGACTGCATATAAAAATTTCCTTGATAAAATACCAATTAATGAAGGAATGGTTTATGATGTTATGAAATATAGTATACAAATTAACTGTATTTATAATTTTAATATTATTGCATCACATTACTATAATATTCATTATTCATTAGAACAATTGATTGAATTACTCAAATTATCACCATTTACATGGTCATTTGCATCGGAAAAGATTGTTGAAAAAGAACCAGATGGATCAGTTTGTATTCCATTAACAAGATATTATTTTATTTCAGAAGATAATGGTATTATTCCAGCACAAGTTGCCGATATCATTATGAAAGATCCCGAATTACAATCACAACTTACAGCATATGATTGTATCAACTTGTTATCAATGATTCAACTTGAATACACAGATATTTCTCCCTTAATTTCTCTTTTAACAAAATTTGGATTGATTACTGATCCAAGTCAAATTAATGAAAATACATCATTAACAGATATCCAAGAAATTGTTTATAATTCTCCTAAAATTGATGAACTTATCAAAGAAGATATTGAAGGATTCGCGAATATTATTGCACCACATCATGATTTTATCACTAAAGTCACTGGAATTGAAGTTTCAAAAGAATTTTATGATAAAATGGTCCATATTTATGTCAATACCTTTAATCCAAAACCAATACGTAAAAATTTATATCTCTTTGGAAGAAGTGTTCAAGTTCAGCCAGAAGTTAAAGAACATTGTGATAAGTTTATTAGATTCCTCACTGATCCAATAAACAGAAAACATGTTGATGTTAAAGAACTTTGCAAATCACCTCAAAATGTCATCTTCATCAAATACCTTGAATTTACGCAGGATGAGTTTCAATATGTCAAAAATATTGAATTCATGAAATTTGAATTATGTTTTAATCAAAATAATATGAAATTCTTTACATTTGAAGAACTTATCAAGACTAGAAATAGTGAAAATGTATTGAAAGGAGCATTAGTCAAAACATTGACACCAGAAGATGTAAGAAAAATTCAAGAATACTTTATTCATCCAATCTCTTATACTCCCTGTGTAATGCAAACAAACAACGTAGAATTCCAGCAACGTTATAGAGAAATTTTCAAGAGAGATGAAATATGCAATGGTTTCGAAGATCAATTACTGATCAATAATCTCATGCCTAATCACATTTTCGATGATATTTCCTACAAAATTTTTGCTACTCTTTTAACAAGGAAATTGAATGATGCGACAAAAGCCAAATTATTTTTAACAATCCCTGCATCTCAGGAAATGCTTGAATTTCTATATTCTAAAAGAGAATTGATAAATGATTCTTGTCTGATTGTTTATTCAACAAGAATTTCCTCACCAATTGTTGAAAAGGGAGCTACAATTGGTGATGATTATGTAGAAAAAATATTCTGCTCGGCACAGAAAATTGATTTGGAACTTTTGTTTGAATACAAGATTTCCAAGAGAGCTCTAGCATTATCATTGATAAAATCCATCGAGAATAAATACATAGAAGCTATAAAAATCTTGCTTTCAAAAGAAGCACCAGTCAATTTCATTTTGGATGGGGTAACTCCACTTCAAGTTGCAATAAAAAACAATTACATTGAAGGAGTTGAAATTTTACTAAATCATGGAGCATCAATTGACTTCAAAGGATTACAGACAGCTGCATTTGCCGCCGAATCATCTAAAAATGCAAAAATAATTAAATTAATTTGCAATAAGATTGATGTCGAATATGAATCTCACTTCACCCACATCACTGATATTCATATCCCAAAAAATATACAACCTATTAAACAAAATATGGATTTATTGTGCAGCAGTAATGCTTTTCAATACGCATATTCGGATGATAAATATCCTGACTTTATGATTTGCTCCCGTGTCAAGAATACAAAAGATTCAATTAATTTAATTTCAGATATTCATCAAATAGTTATCAATGTTATTCAGGAAAAGTCTTCATTTGCTAATCCATTTAGAGTAATTACTTTATTTACTCCAGTTGATTTATCAGCTCTACGTGAATTAATTCCAGGATTAACGTGTAACAGGATGATGATATCAGACGAAATTAAACAAGATGTCTGGAATTTCATTGATAAAAACTTAGCAATAAGTAGTCCACAATTCAGAGCTGTTTATTCTGTTATCACAGGAATCAAAATGATTGAACCGATTGAAGGTCTCTCAGATTTATTGTCTGTTGCAACAAGACTTGGCAACATCGAAATCATCGAAGAATTGTTTGATAAAGGTGCTCGAATCGAAGACGTCGAAGGTTATTATCAGTTATTGTCTCCATCATTAGAAGCAATCAGCAAAGATCGATCAGACATTTTAGAACTTTTCATTCTTCATGGATTGAAATTTGATCATATCTATTCTATTGACAACTTCACATTGCTCAATGCAAGTATCGAATTCAACTCTACAAAATGCTTTGATCTTTTATTTTCTAAGTCATCATTTGGTCATTTTGTTGTTGAAACACCAATGATGAGTGCTCTTCAAACATTCGAACGAACAGGCAACGATTACTTCATCAACAAACTTCTTCCTCAAATTGACACCGAATACGAAAGAATTGTTGATTCATCATTTTGTGACTACTTATTATTCAAATCCGGTCAAATTCCAGAATTCCACTATAATTCAGCCAACAGGAAGAAAACAGTCATAAGCTCAAGATTCGTTAATGAATCTAATATGATCCCAAATTCCCTAAGTAGAGGATTTGATACTGTTATTCAAGAAATATTGGCATTCGATATTGTTAGATATCGTTTTTTAATGGAGCGTGACCATATTCAGAAATATATCGATTAATCCGAATGAAATTAAACATAATTAATTTTTTATAAATTTTGTCATCATATATTTTATTGAGCTTCCTGTTTGTTTTCTAAAACTATTTGCTAGAACTTGATCTTTTAATATTTCTTTCATTTGATGGTATATGTGAATTTGGATCTATTGTAAATAGGAAAGTGTATTCGCCCCCACCTTTTTCCCGTATCTATATAGTTTTTTTTTTTTCATGATCTAAAATTCATTCCGTACTCTATATTAAAAACATTCAATTTTTGAATTACAAACGGGAATAATAATGAACTCGATTTAACGGCAACAGATTTTATTTTGAAATTTGATGAATTTGAATGGTCGCCTGAATAAATTTAATGCATATAAGCAAGAACTACAGAAACCGATGAAAATAGCCATTGGGAATGCGAATGAACAAGAAAAATCAAATTCAAATAACTTTAAGGAGCAGCAAACCGCTTACAAACCTGAACCAGATATTGATACATCATGTGTACCAAAAAGATTTTGGAGAACAAGAACCCCAATGAATCCTGAGTGCAAATTCTTTTTTGTATTAGCAAAACCCGAAGGATCTCCGAAAGGAACACGATTTTATTTCTTATATGATGATCCATATTGTTCGCTTTTTGATTTCAACAAAAGAGAAATTGAAATTATAACTACGAATTCTCAACTTTTCTTCGAAGGTCGCTATATTGTATTACGAAATAATAACGTTGATAGACTATTTTCTCTGAAAGTAGAAGAAGAACCATTCCATGATGCAATAGAAAATACAGACTCTGATATCATCAAGCAATTTTATATTTTATCAAAAATATGTAACGGATATCCAAACACTGACAATATGACTGTAGCTTTCTACAATAGAACAATTAATACATTGAGATTTTTCAAGTTAGTTAGTTTTTTACCGCTACACTTGTTTGATGACGAAAAAACAGAATGGTATTTGAGAGGGTGTGATCCATTCTTAGTAGATCTCTTTGATTTCTTATGTGTTGGATTTATTAAAACCATTGATAAAAATACTCAAAAATTCCCAACTGATACATTCATTTTCAAGTTCATAGCAATGACATTTCAAAATGATGATACTTTTAAGAGCATTATTTCTCAAGTTGGAAAATTCAAAATGGTTCAAGAAGGATTTGCTTTTAAGATGTCAACAACCAATCCATATAATGATAGAACAAAGATGGTACTTCATTTACTCTATTTAAACATATCAAAAGCGTTTCCAAATACAGATCTTCCAACTCATTTAGTTTTTTCTGCAATAGTTAACTCCGTACAAGCTATTTGGCAGGTTGATCCAACTTACATGCATAAAGCAGGCGATATTATGGAATTGGACGGATTTAAACGCCGTAGAATTCCATTAGACCTTTGGAATGATTATATTGCAACATTTGACAAGTTTAAGATTCAGCCTTCTGGGTATATTCTTCCTACTCACAGTACTGTTACTTTTGATTATTTTTCAGAGATTTTGAAATTAACTATGGACCACAAAGATAAAATGCTCAAAATTATAGATACATACAAGGATATATAATATTTTGTTTGAATAAATATACGTTATTTCGATTTGAAAAAAATAATCAAAAATTATTTTTCATAAAAGATAGTATATTATCAGGTATTATCAAGTTCATGCATAATATCAACCAAATCTCGTTTGAAAATCATGTAAATGAAAAAAATGAGTTAGAATGATTTCCAAAAAATAGAAATTATCTTTTGATATGATTTGTATCGGTATAAAATTAAGAATGTTGTAGATCTTATCAATCAAATGAGTTTGGAAGCAATATCTCATCTCCAAATTACAACGAAAACCTTATTTATAATGAAATTTCTTATCTCATAATAATGAATTTATAATTATGAATGTGATGATCCACAATGATATTTCTAAAGTAGAAATTTTTCGCTAAAAAAAAATGAAAGCGCAAATCCTTCCTGATGAAGAAACACTATCGACACCAATTGAGATTATGTCTTCATGCAAGGCAGCAATTCTCATTGTCGTAGTATCAATTTTTCTGACAGGAGCCGCTGTTTGCTCATTCGTACCGAAAAATACGAATTATCAAATCACAAGAGTACAATCTCTTCCAATTCCATCAACAGATGTTGCTAACAGAGCACAATTTAAGCATTTTACACCATTAAATTCTTTCGCAATCCTTTCTGTAATTCCTTACGTTTCAGATCTTGCAAACAAGCATACAATTACAGCTCAAGGCTTTGCCAGATTATATGATGATGAAATGAAAGTCATTTCAACAAGAGAAATCAACACTACGGAAGTTGTTGGTTGTGAAAAAGGAAGATGCGATGAAATTATTGTTACTGATTACAACTTCGTCAATTTCAGTTCAGTATCATTAGTCGTCAACATTTCAAGCGCAACTGGCAAGAAAATCCTTAGAAGAGCAGATATCACTTGCACTTCTCTAAATACACCGATTTCCATTACCTTATTTGTTATGATATCAGCAATGACCTTAGTACTTATCATTTTCCTCGGATGCGTTGCTCCAAAACGTCTTTATCCAACTAGAAAAGATCATTGGTCAACATTATTCCTTGGACTTGCTGCTTTATGCATTGATGGTCCATGGTTGATCCTCAAATACTATTCCGTATACTGGTTCTCGAATATTTACGATATTATGCCAGAATTATTCCATATGGTATTTATCTTATTCGTAATGTCATTCTTCAACTCACTTACTCATAGCTGGGCCAACAGGATATTCTCTAGCTGGTTAATTGGCCTCTGTATCTCATTTGGATTATCCCTTATTATTATCTTACAATCTATTGCAATTAACCACATGCCACTTAACACATACAGCGTATACATTAAGAATTCCGACTTCAAGATCCCAATTTGGGCACTTACAGCCATATATCATTTGATTATTTTATTTATCATGGTATTAGGCATAATTACAGTCCAAATCAAGGAAGATGCCACTCTTGTCTTGGTCTCCCTATGCTTCATTCTCTTAGAAGTCTTGGATTGCATCAGAGCCGGTTTAAGATTCTTCTGTCCACGTTCTCAGCTCGGTTTCTCGTTTGCTTCTGACGTATTCTACATCCTTTTCGCCAATTTCGTCACCTGCTTCTTCATATACGGAAATCTTCCGATAGAAAAAGCTCTCTTTGTGGAAAAGAGGGAGGAAATGAAGCAGACACAAATCGCTGACACAGATCCACAGGAAATTGTTAATATTGCTGAAGATGAGGATGCTGCAAATGAAGAGGCTGCTAAAGAAGAACCAGCAAATCAAGGAACAGAAACAATTTAAATTTTTTTATAAATTTTTTTGGAATAAAATATATTACTATAATCAGTTGTAAATAACCTTCTTTTTACATTCAAAACTCTATATTTAGAACAAAAATGCGGAATTCATTATAATATTTAGTGATAGATAGAATTTGCTTCTTCTATAAAAATTTCATGTATGGTTAACAAAAAATTCGGGTAGCTCATGAATAATTTTTGAGATAACAAAATTAATATTAAAGAAATGTAAAGTTATCTCAAAGATTTGGAGACATTTGAAGATCCTTAGTCAATAAAGTATGAATTCTCCCTCTCTACAATGAAATCACTTTATTGAAATTGTTAGCTATTGATAATAAAGAAACATGAGATAAGCATGAGATTTTTTGATAACTCTATCATATTTAAGTATACATGGCACGATGGGCGCTACTTTTTTGGCGCCAGCGGCGCCGCCCGCGCCTCCGGTGGCTCCCACTGGTGGGGAGGAGACGATAGAAAAAGATATAAATTTTACTAAAAAAATTGAATTTTGGAAATTCTTTTGATTTTTTTGAATGATTTACGAAGAGATTGAACACATTTTGTACTATGAAATATCGTTATTAATAAATTTACTTCTTAAACATCTATTAAAATCGCAATTTTGAATATTTTTATGATTTTTTTGACCCGATCACTTGCGCCCGCGCCCACTGGGAGGGGCGCTTGTAAAGTATTCAAAAATCAATGTAAACATTTCAATTTTTGCTCCCACCTCCCATTGGGAGGGGGGCATATATCTTGTAGTGTTCAAGTTCAAGTGATGAAAGTGCATAAGAAAGCTCCTTAATCATACCGATAGAAACAGCATTAGGGGCGCCAAATGGCGCTCGGTGATGTTTCCCATAATAACTATATTTTAATATAAATTAAACATTTGAGCTCATTTTCTTTTGTTCTATTAACTAATACATGCAGTACAAGCTTGTTATACGTATACTTAATAAGTAAGGTCTTAAGGGAAATAATAAAAAAGAATTTTGCTATTAATTATATTAAACAATATTTATTTGTAATTTCGTGATAATTATATTTCTTATTACAAAGTAAAGGTATTTGATATAATGTTTGCCTTACAAAAATGTTTCCTTTGTCTTGCCACCATAGGTATTCTATTTTGTCACTTTTTGCGCCCGCCGTGCCATGTATATATTTAAGTAAATTAAGGGATTTTAGAATTCATGGCCAAAAATTTATTTAATTTGATCAAAAATTAGCTAAAATAGAAGTTCTGCGAATAAAAACTAAAGAATTATAAGCTGCTACCTTAGCTATGAGTTGTCTATCACTAAGGTATTCTGCTAACATCGTGTCTGTATGATTATTATCAGTTTTACTCATACTTCTGCTAAAATCAAAGAGTCTCATAGGATATTTTAGAGTATGAGTCTTTTAATTAGAAGATAAGTTGTGTAAAAACTATATTTTAATATAAATTAAACAATCTATTTTATTATTTCAAGAAGAATCAGTATTTTCTTCAGTTTGTTCTTCTTCGTTATTAGTTTCTTGGTTCTCAGTTGATTGTACATCTTCAGAAACCTGGTTCTCTTCTTCAGCGACCGAATGATTTGCTTCTTCTTCCTCGTTTTGTTCCTCATTTCTTACAGGAGATTTCGGTTGTTCCTCCTGTTCTTCTGGTTCATTATTTGTTGTTTCATCCTGGTTATCCAGTTCAGAAATGTCTTTTACGAATAATCCCTGAGATTTCATCAATCTGAATATTTCCTTCATGGCGCGTGCTTGTTTAGGAGCGAAGGACACTGCTATTTCAGCAGTCATCTTCCCTCTAAATATAAATTCTCGTATAAGTAAATCTTTCTGCTTCAAAAATTCAATGGAAGACAAACCAAAGTTCAAACAAAGGGCGTTTTCAGCTGGAGAAAGGAGCTGCTTGTCGTGGGATGACTTGTATTCCTGGGATTCGACCTTTTGAGCTGCTTCCCGGTTCCATTTTTCGATTGCTGATGGAGTTAGTTTGTCATCTTTGTTTAATTGCTCTAATGCGTTGAACATGAGGCCTTCTTCGCGGGAAACAACACCATTTTCCCACCATGTATGCAACATGTTTAGGTTTCGCTTCAAAGCAATCTCTTTTTCTAATGAAATTGCAAATTCTTTTAATTCATCTTTAGGAATCACTTGTGCGAGACATAATAACTGTTCTTCAAAGGCTCTATTCTCTTTGGTTTGTGGTCCGAAGCCTTTAAATTCATCATTTAGTAGATTATAGTCGAGTGCAAATTTAATTCGCTCTTCACGAGCTTCTACGATATCGCTGTATGTCCGTAATGCATTTAGCTTCTCCATAAATGCAGCTTCGTTGTTTTCGTCCGCTGAAAATGTAATTCCGTAAATTCCTTGTTCTGCATCTGTTTGGAATTCAATTTCGAACTCATTTCTGTTCGGCATCCAGCCTGCAAACTCTGCTGGTGTAGTTCGTTCCCGTTTATTATGTTCAGCTAAGTTCCTTTCTGCTGCTATTGAAGGTAATGAATCTTGAGGGTCTGTACAAAAATCAGGTGGTGGCGGAATTTCTGCTTTAGGTTGTATTTCTTTTGGTGGCATTGGCGCATTTTCGTTGTCTATGAAGATTTGAAGATAATGTGCTTTGCATTGTTCGGCTGACTTAGTTTTGAGTAAGTTTGAGACATCTTGCCAATTTCCGAATCCACATTTTTGAAGTGCATTGAAAAATAAGCTTTCTTCTTCGCCAGTCCAATCTTCCGCGTAAATTGGAGGGAGACATGGCTCCACAACAATGAATGTATGCGTTCTGAGATGATTTTGTGATTCGCTGCCGATGCCAAAGCATTCCATGCATTGATTAAATCCTTTGCATTTTGTACATTTTACATAAATTTCGCTTGAAATGTCTCTATGACATGTAGAGCATGTTCTTCCTATACTAGATATTTCATCACCAACATTTAGCCGCTTATTTCGTTCAGCGGCTAGATGTGAGGGTGATTTTAGATGTAGCAAAGGAAAAAAGTGAATTATTTTCCTTTGTATTGTACATTTTAGCAATCTCAAAGAGTTAGAAAATTCATTCGAAATCAATTTATCTTCGAATTTTTTTGATAATCAAATTTGAATCCTATCTAAATATCAAAATATAATAGAAAATACATTTACAGAAGTATATTTTAATAATAAAACATGTTTTATGATATCAATAACAAAAAAAATCTATTTTTGGTTCTGAAAATCGTATTTCTCTTGAGCTGCAGATATCTTTTGATCCAAAAGATTGATCTGTTCATTGTAATCAATGTAATGTGGCTGGCTACGATCTAAAGTATCTAATGTAGATAATAATTCTTCTTGAGATGGCATTTCTTTGTCAACTTCCTCTTTGAAGAATGTAATGGCCATTTCGAGTTTGTTTTGTTCGGCATATGCTTTTGCAGAAATATTATTTTTGTTTACTTTGGAATAATCGGCTTCGAATATAATTAAAGTCTTAAAAATAGTCATGTCATGTAAATGTTCTGCTAAAAATAGTGGAGATTTGTCTGTTTGATTAAAAACATTTGGATCTGCAGAAAATTTAAGGAGAAGAAGTACCAAATTGTTGTCACCTGAAGATACAGCGATATGTAGTGGTGTATTACCTGTACTTTCGACTTTTCTATTGACAAGAGAAGGTTTATGAGAAAGAAGAATTTTTGTTATCGAATATGTTCTTGAAGCAACAGCAAAATGTATTGGTTCCCATTGTCCTACTTTCAGTTCAGTATTAGCGCCTAGTGATAATAATTTTTCAACAACAAGATCTTGTTTACATAATATAGCATATACAAGAGGAGTTGGATAATTAACTTGTGGTAAGAAAAATTGACCTGGAATTTGAGGAACTGGTGTTGGACAAATTAATGCATCATTAATGACATCTGAGTTAATACCAAGCGATTCAATGCCATTTATATCGCCTGTCCTTATACATTCAGCAAATGCATTGTCAAAATCCATTTTTTTGGAACTGTCAATTTTTTTAGAAATGAAAATCAAATCAATGAATTCTTAATAGGTTTGGATGTTCAATTTCAAGTACTTCAAATTTTTTGTTTAAAATTCAGGATGAGAGGAAATTCAATTCATTCTACGCAAGATTGAAAGGAGAGACTACATTAAAGCATCATAATACAGCAATGCACCACTATTCAAGCAATTCATTATATAATTGAGTTCATGAACTTTCAACAATAGAGTGAGATGCCATAATTTATGTCATCATTCCATATGGAACAGTGTTACATGCTGAATTGAAAGCTTCTTGCTCTGCTGTTTTAACAATATCTAATATTAATATTCATAATCATATCAAGATAGACTAAATAATGCAAATTTATGCTTCATAACGCTAGAACTTTCTTATATTGAGAGATAAGTGACCTGTTCTATTTCAAAATTTTTTCAAAATCCAGAAAATGAATATTGTTGTAACGATTTTTTGAACAAAAATTTTCTTTGAAAAATTATTTTTGTAAATTTATAATTGTCTTTTTAATTATCTCATCACACAAAATAAATTTTAAAGAATTAAATTATTAATATTTAATAATATTCATAATAATTTTAAGTTATTGCACAAACGATAAAAAACCAATAACAATAATAAATTTCCAAAATAATTGAGCTCGAAATCAGCAAATATTGAAAATTTGCCGTATTAGTCACTATGATTGTTATATTCTCATGCAAAAAAGGAGACAGTCATTTCTCTAAAATTGAGAGCTCTGTTTATTTTTTTAAAACGGACATTTTTATTAAATGAAGATTCAAATTCTTTCTAAAACAGAAGCTAGCTCTCTTCCGGGCATCGACGGTATGATAGCTGGAATCTGCAGCGATGACAAAAACTTTTACACTGCAGTCGATGCAGGTGCAATTCGCAAATATCCGTTTAATACAGATGACCTTGCACAAACATCAGATGACGTCTTCGTATTCAAGGATTCACATATTACATGTATCGACTCTACTCGTGATTCATCAGCTCCAAATACCTTCATTATTGGTTGCTCTGATGGCACATTCCGTCTTTGCTCAACCAATTGGAGAATAGAAAAAACAGTTAACGCACACAATGGCGGTATCACATGCCTTAAAGTCAATCCTGATGGCTCTTCTATCGCTACAGCTGGTGAAGATGGTCTTGTTAAAATCTGGTCAAGAAATGGAAGCCTTAGATCAACACTTGCAAGCTGCGGAAGTGCAATTACAACATTAAATTGGGATTCTACTGGAAAATATATTATGTTTTCAAATGGTGGCACAGTAACCGTCCGTTCTGCTTCATTTAAGCAGGAGCAGACACAGTTCCGTGCACATCGCCGTTTAATCACATGCAGTGATTGGAATCACGTTACTAACGAAATTCTTACAGGTGGTGAAGATCGCGTCGCCCGCTTGTTTGATATGGACGGCCGTCCGATTGCTGAAACACATCCATTTGATTACGCTGTTTCTTCAGTCGCTTTCCTCCCAACATCTCATCTTTGCTTGATCGGAACAGCAAACAGACTTTACTTAACCGATTCAAAGCTCCGCATCCAATTCTCCATCCCAATCGATGCTGGTGCTGCAATCTGCGCTAATAACGACCAACCTCGCGCTATGGTCGCTGGCGGTGGCACAATCAACCTTATTGCTGCTGTTGGCAAGAAGATTGTTTACAAGGATTGCGAAGTTATCGCTGATGGACCAAGAAAGCTTACAGTTTACGATCTTAAAAACGGATTATCTGAGAACTTGCAGTTCAACGAATCCGTCGCAGATTTCACAATCGGCTTCAACAACCTTATCGTAAATACACAAACAAAGCTTCAAATCTATAAATTTGGTTCTTGGACAGCTCCTCTTATCGTAGAGATCAAGGAGCCAGCAAAGACAATTGCCCAATCCGCAACAATGTTCGTATACGTTTCTTCATCAGGAGCTCAAATCTACGGCTACGATGGACGTGTTATTTCTCGTATTACAGAACCAAGCATCAAATGGGAATTAGTATCATCCCAGATGATCGCTTGCTCACCATGCATCGTCTGCGTTGTTTCACCAGATGATCGTAAGAAGGTTTTCGCATTCAGCTCATCATCCGGCCAACCAACATCTGGAGAGCCACTTGTCCACCCAAGTGAAGTCAGAAATATTACAACAAACCAAGCCGCACTCCTCGCAAAGGCTCGTTTCGGATTTACAAATGCAAATGGAGATTTAACAATTTGCAGATTCGTTACAACCAATCCACGTCAACCACCAACAATAGAAACACAGAAACTTGCTAACTTCGTTGACGAATTCAGCTGGCATACAGTACATGATGTTATTGTTGCCAGAAGCGAAGACAAATTAACAGTTTGGGGCTGCCCAAGTGCATCCTTCTTCACACCAGAATTACTTCCTAAGCTCAAATTCGAACTTCGTACATTATTCGATACATCCGAGCTTGATAGCTTCGACGGAACTCATGCTTTCGTTCGTAGCAAGGAAGGAGCATTCTGTGTTGTCCAGATCAACCCATTCCTCTTAATGCTTCACGAAGCAATTGATATCCAACGTAATTGGAAAGTTGTTCTCCAAGTTTGCCGTGCAATGAAGGATGAAACTCTTTGGGCAGTTTGTGCTGCATGCGCCGTCCAAGCTGGCGAAATTGATGCCGCACAAGAAGCTTATGCCGCATTAACAATGATTGACAGAGTTCTCTTCCTCGAAAAGGTCAAGAAGATGAAGGCTCCTGCCGCAAGAAATGCAATGATTGCAGTTTTGCAGGGCAGAGCTAACGAAGCCGAGGAAATCTTGATTCAGGGCGGATGCATCTTCAGAGCAATTAAGATGAATATCGGCTTGAACAGATGGGACAGTGCTTACTCTATCGCTAAGAGAACGAACAAGTTCTTGGAAGTAGTGGCTGCTTACAGAACAAAGTTCTTGAAGGATATGGGTCTTGAAGAAACAGATCCAAACTTCCAGAAACTTGGTCAGGTTGACTTAGAGAGCGTTAGACATATTATTAATGATGAAAAGGCCAAAGAAACTGCTTGAATTTAATTTTTTTAAACATTTTTTAAGGTATTTTTATAATAGATATATTTACATGTTTCTTTCCATTAAATTATATTTCTTCGTGACTCTGAGAATTCCAATCTTTGCAAATTTTTGAATATTCTTTTTTTCCTATTATTTTTAGTTGGATTTCATTCAAACATATCTTTTTTGAGAATGTTTTTGATCAATTTACATGCAAAATAGAGAATATGACAACAATATTGGATTTTTCTTTCTTATTGTCTAAATATAGCATGAAATTGATAAAAAGCTTACCTCATATATACTTCCTTTGGAAAACTGCTGCTTTTGGTTCATTTTTTTTTTCGGGAGTTGTTTCATGACATTTAATCCAATAGCTGAAATCAATGCTGCAAAAGATAACATATTATCAAGTATATCAGCACTTAGTTTTGTAATAGATACAGGCTTGGATCAAATAGAACGCTATTTATTTTCATATGAAATAAATCGTCGAATACAATCAAGAATTTCAAACAATAACATTTACCTAAAGGGGAAAAATATTGATATGCTAAAGATTAAAAACAAATTATTAGATAACATCAAATTAAATTCGGAACCACCAAAACCAGTGGCTGAAATCAAAAAAGAACCAAAAGAAATCGCTCCAAAAGTAGAAGAACCAAAGAAAATACCAATAAAACCAGTAGAAACTAAAAAACCGGAAATTCAATTGACTAAAGAAGAATTAGACCGCATTAAAAAGCTCGAAGAATTTTTGGGAAGCGAAAATATTGAACTAAAAGAAATTAAAAAGTTTCAAGTTCCTGAAAACTATGATCCCTCAGAATTTTACAATATTGCGATGGAATTCCTCAATAAGTAAGCATATATAGCCATCCGTATTACTTATTTTACTCAAATGGTCGCCAAAAGAGAGAAAATTAATCATTCGCAAAGCTTTTTTTACTTAAATAACGATTTCGCATTGTATCTCAAAGGGGATCACTGTTGTAAACTTGATTTGGCAACACAGACAAAATTAATGGTCAAATCAATTTCATATTTATATTTAACGGATTTTAGAAATAGTTCACTAACTAAATGACGTTTCACAACCATCAACTTGATTGTCATCGCATATTTTACTTTTAAATATCTTTATAAAAAGATATAGACAAAACTGTTTAAAGTAGTAAAAATTTAATATGTTTAATTAGTTGACATTTTTAAAATATAGCTTAGCTGAAAATAAATCTATTCATTTTCATTTGTAACTTTAAATCTTTATCAATTTCAATCTCCTTGATGTGTAGATTCAATTCTGTGTTGAAATTTGATTATACTTCTTGAATTTAATCCATTTACTTAAAACATTTATGTAGAAAATGTGCCAACTACTAAATTTTGAAATTTTGCTTCAAAACTCCTTTATATTATTCTTGTTTAACATTGTTGATACAACTTATGTCATAAAAATTCTTAGAAATACGTTTATCTCTATAAAATACATATTAAATGGTTAAATATCTCCTTCATCTCAAAGAAGGATAGATAGTTTTAGGATTTATGAGTGAAAAACATAAAAACAACATATAATTTATATAAACTTTAATTTCTTTTTATTGATATTATTGAATAAAAAAAAATTAAATTTGATTATCGAGTTAATAACAATAGTTAAATAATAACTGTGAAACAAAATAGAGCGGATCAGTTGGGAATGAGTGATGTGTCTCTGTGCTGCATCCGTAATCGAATGCGACGTTCACAAGACCGCAGCATTCGTAGATTCTCTGTTTCGTCGGAAAACCAGCGACCACTGCATCGCGTTCCATACTTCCATCTTCAAATGGAATCTGCGCACCAACGTGTTGGCCAATTGGACATGGATTTCTTGATGTCGACAATTTCTGACAAACAGGGCATATATAGATGCAGATTTTATTCCACATCTCTCTTAGTGTCGATTCGTACTTAGCGCGCTGTTCTTTTCCTGGTTCTGACTGAAGACCAAATAACATGAACATTCTGTTCTTAGATGGATACAATGGCTGGTCCATTTCTTTGACAATAGCAATATCTGTATCATTTTCTGCATCAATTGTGTGCGCTTGCTTAAAATTATAATTCAAAACTTCATTGAACGTACAAATCATCTTTTCGCAATGTTTGAAGATATTCATTGCAAAGTCTAACTGATTTCTGATGGTTTGAGCTGGAATCTTGCAGTATTCTGCGAATGTGAGTTCAACTTGTTTTCCATTGTAGTAAAACAGGACAGGGAGGTCTGCAAACAGCATGAGAGTGTATATTTTCCTCTCGGTAAGGAAGTCTTTGTTCGTAAGAGCCTTTTCTTTCTTTGATTGGTTGGTTGCAAAACATTCAACCAAATAAATGGCAATTGGAAGGTCAACTCTCAATTTGCATTCTGTAAATTTGGTTATTTTTGGTATTTCTTCTTTATAAAGTAGCAATTGTTGGCATAAATCGCATCTAAATTCAGGAATATCAAATGGAGAAACGTAATTGTCTGGGCCACGTGGCTGCGGAAGAGCCATGTTAAGATATTTGTATGCACGAAGTTTTCTATGTGGATCAATGACGTCATAAATGGCATCAAAGAGATCTTTATCATCAATGTCCGAAATTGGCTCATTAATTTTAAATTTTGTATCACCGTAGCGTCCACCGATTGAATAATTGACTGAATATGTAAATTTCTTTTGACCAATATTAAATCTACCTAATTGCTCACATCCAATACTGAATTTTGTACCACCTGTAGAAATAGAAACTATTTCAGCAACAAGTGGTGGCAATTTCATTGTAATGATTTGTGAATCACGAATATGCTCGAAATGGACATAATTTCTGCATTTATCGTAGATAACTTGAGCCTTCTCCATATCTAATCTCCTTTCAAAAGAGATTCTGTTCTGTTCAGGAGTCAGCATCGGGTTTTGATATTGATCCATTTTTTTTATGACATTCGAAATCACATGGATATATAAAATATCTCTGTAAATCAAGCATGAAAACGAATGAGCTTAGTATTTTTAAATAATAGCTATCATTGTTCATATTTCATATCCTTTTTCAATAAGATTTCGCTTTAATCGGTGGAATCTTAATCTAATTAATGAGTTTGCTTGATTGGTTAACGCTTGCCTTATGGTTTAGGAAATCTTAGAATTGCTTAAAATTGATGTACTATATTGGAATATTGAATGAGCAAATTTACTAAAAATTCATAATAAAGAAAATGCTTTTATATTAAACATACAATTATGTAAATAAACAGAAATATCTCAATTGAGCTAATAAATCACCTAATTCTGGTATTTTACATAACAAGAAAGAAATTATTGATCAAATCATATATGATGTCGTTATGAATGGAATAGATATAAAGAAATGTGATAAGGAATTTCGAAATGTAAGAAAATTGTTGGATTTATAATACGTGCTACTAAATATTATTACAAACAATCACATGGTAATGAAGATAATAGTTTTGAATGATAGTCTTAATTGGAAAGATACCAAAAAATTCATTTGGTAATTGCTAAAGATGGATAATCATGATTCATTAAAGAAATCGGAAGAAAAGCTCCTTTATTTTGTATAAGAGCTTATAATATAAAGTTTCTAATTTTGCAAATGTTGCGAACAGAGGTATGCTGACTACCATTGATACAGGCCAAATGCCACCAAATTTTGAATATAGCTTCTATGCATGCTTGTGAGCAATGTTTGTATGAACATGCAAGAAAAACTATCGGCCAATTTTGAGGAAAATGCATTAGTAATTTGCATATATTTTATACTCAGATTATTTTTGCCATTTTTGAATTTTTTAAATATTTACATATTCAGCTGATTTATTCGAATTATGAATCGGCAAAAACTAATTATTTTAAGTTCTAAAATAATATTAATGCTTAAATCTCATATATTACAATAATGAATAAAAATATTATATTAATTATCATGAAGTATGATTGAAATTAAACCCTTCAGATTGTCATCCGATGTTTATAATAATCTCACATATCTTGCATGTTTTAATAATACTTTCTCAATGAGCGAATAAATGATGAGTTAATACAAATCAATTAGACTTTCTGAGCAAAAAAATCTAAATTAAATAAATGTGTGAACTATTTACTAGTATTAAGATAATTTATTCCTAATAATAAAAAAAATAAAATAATAATTTTATAAGACATACTAAATAGTTAAACATTATGCATACCATGATGCTACAAATCATTATCGTATTATTAATTTTGCTATTTTGAATAAGTCAGTAATTGAATATACGGGTAACTTTTTTTTGGCTGATAGTTTTTAAATAAATCTATTCTAAAGGTGATACTTACAATGAATCTATATGTTTTATAGCTATTACAAGGAAAACCACCTGTACAAAAAAAAGTTAATAATTTAGGATTTTAACATATACGTTTGAGTAATCTCCCATGCGAGTTTCTTAATGCTATGGAGTTTCCGTAAAGATGAAGGAATAATAACATATATGATAATAAATTTGATAAATCTTTTGTATAAAAGCGAAAACATCTATATTGTTACGATCGAAAACATAATATATGAAGTGCTTTTTCGAATGACTTTACTTGTTTCTAAAATAATGTTATGTTTGGCTCTAGACGTGGCCATTAAAAATGACGTTAAGAGAAAAAATTAACCTTATTCCAGTCAGCATACCTCTTTGCGAACATTTTTTGACAAATCAATTTGTGATTTTTTAATTTGAAAACATAAAAATTTGTGAGAGACTATAGAGAGTATGCAATATTTAAACAGTTGCTTCAAATATATAGGTCAGGAATTGTCCAATCAAATGTTGTTTCGGTATCCCAAAAGCAGTGGCGACCTTCAGATCAAAATACAATTGTAGGATTTCCATATATATGCAATAGAATTGATTCAAACTATTGGGCATTGTACACAAACCCAGGCGATTATTTACAAATTGACTTTAAAATTCCATATTTAATTTCTGGAATGGTAATTAGAGGTGTAACAACTCATGGTTATAACTGGGATAAAGTCAAACCATCATGTTCATTAGAATTTTCTAATGATGGATCAAATTTTATTTCTTTATTCAAAGAATATAAATCCACAAGGATAACGAATACAAGCTTAATTACAGAATACTCATTCGGCAAAGCACAGTATTTCCGATACTTTCGTCTTCGTTCCATAGATTATGCAATGGGAGATAAAATACACGGATTATATCTATCATGGCTTGATTTTTATCCTTTTATTGATATAAAATGCTCATGTATATCTAGTTCTTATAGAATTGCTACGTTCTTTGCGCTTTATACGATTTTATTAAATTCCGAATTTTAATTACTAATTAAATACTTTTAATTATAATCACTCTCTATTTTGACATAGTTCCAAGTAAAATTTACTTCATTTGAAATATGAAGGCGAATTTAGATAAATATTCATAAATTTGAAGGAATATTAACAAATTGATTATCATAAGATTATATTTTATGGAAAATAAAGGATATGCCTTGGATATGGATAGATCAACCTTAGATGTATAAGGTGATTATGATTAAGTCATATATTTTTTTGTCCTAGTTTATATAAATAGTTCGAGGGAGATAAAAATAGTTAATCTAATATAAATTAAGCTTGACAAGAGCAGTTATTTTTAGCTCAAAAAAGTATTATTATTATAGCACTAAACTTTGATGTATAATGTTGCAGATAGTGATAAAATAATGTTTTGTGGTTTTTAAATTAAAAAATTTATTGAAATCATGTATGAAAAAATGATATTCAGAGGATTTATACTTGTTGGTAGAGTTAATCTCGATGTTATAGATAATATGGGAAAAATTTCTTCTAAATCACTGAAAACAAAAGGTTTAAATATGAAAAAGCTGAATTCGAGTTTTTATGTGAATCAAAACCAATAATAAAGAGAAGTATAGTAATACAAATACAAGCTATTCTGAAATTTGGCGACAGATGTAGGGTTGCATGAAATCAGATTGTATCATTTCGAAAATTGCCAGCAATAATGAATAATTTAGTGACAGGTAATAAATCGAAGATATAAGCATATTAATGATGAGTTGTGGGCAGATGGTGAATTCCTATAAGAAAAAACGATGATAAAATAATTTTTTTTTGTCATGTAATCGCATTCCGATAAAATCACATTGAATATTTTGCACATCGGCAAACATCAACATTACATTATCTTTAATAGTACAGCATAATTAGAATAGGAACGAATATTAAAACGTGACAAGATAGAGAAAAAGCCGATAGGTCGAAAATTCTATCAGTTATTCAAAATTGAATACTTTGAGGCCACTTGTGAAAGAATTTTTGAGCTATAAGTGTTCACATCACTTTACAATGTTGGGCAACAAGCTTACCCTTCACGACCTTACTGAGAAAGATATCGCCGGCAAGCGTGTCGTTATGCGTGTCGACTTCAACGTCCCATTCGGCAAGGACGGCAAGATCGCTAACAACCAGAGAATTGAGGCTACAATTCCAACAATCAAGGAAGTTTTCGCCAAGGGCGCTAACTCCATCACACTCCTTTCCCACCTCGGCCGTCCAAATGGTCAGGTTACAAAGGAAACACTCGCCCCAGTTGCTCAGCGCCTTGAGGAACTCATCGGCATGAAGGTTACCTTCGTCAAGGACTGCGTTGGCCCAGAAGTCCACGCCGTCTGCGATCACCCAGCTAAGGGCTCCCTCATCCTCCTCGAGAACGTCAGATTCCACTACGAAGAAGAAGGCGCTCGCGTCAACAAGGATGGCTCAAAGGTCAAGCCAACAAAGGAAGAACTCGAGAAGTTCTACGCCGAACTCACATCCCTCGGTGATCTCTACATCAATGATGCCTTCGGCACAGCTCACCGTGGCCACGCTTCCATGGCTCACGTCAACCTTCCAATCCGTGCTGCTGGTAACCTCATCAAGAAGGAACTCGATGCTTTCGTTCCAGTTCTTGAGAAGCCAGTCCGCCCACTCCTCTCCATCCTTGGTGGTGGCAAGGTTACAGATAAGATCAAACTTATTGAGAACCTCCTCGACAAGGTCGATGAGATGATCATCACAGGTGGTATGGCCTTCACATTCCTCAAGGTCTCCCAGAACGTCCAGATTGGCAAGTCCATCTTCGATGAGGAAGGCGCTAAGATTGTCAACCAACTCCTCGAGAAGGCTAAGGCTAAGAACGTTAAGATCCACCTTCCATCCGATTTCAAGATCGCTGATGCTTTCAAGGCTGATGCTAACACAAAGATTGTTACACTCGAAGAGGGCATCCCAGAGGGCTGGATGGGTCTCGATATCGGTCCAAAGACAATCAAGGAATTCCAGGAGACAGTTCTCCGCGCTAAGACACTCGTTTGGAACGGCCCAGCTGGTGTTTATGAGTTCGAGGCTTTCCAGGCTGGTACACGCGGCATCCTTGATGCTGTTGCTCAAGCTACAGCTAATGGTGCTCTCACAGTTATCGGTGGTGGTGACTGCGCTGCCTGCGCCATGAAGTGGGGCTACACAGAGAAGATCTCCCACATCTCAACAGGTGGTGGTGCTTCCCTTGAACTCCTCGAAGGCCGCCCAATGCCAGGCCTCCTTGCCCTTTCCGACAAGCAGTAAAATTTGCCTTATCTTTTTGCTTTTAATTAATTAATTTTTCACCAATTCAGAAGAAATATCTTAGTTTTTTTTTTGCATAAATAAAATATGAAACTAATATAATTTTATGATTGGGCATAGCATGCCCATATAAATTGTTAAGTGGAAAGGTAAAATCAGGCTTATTCAGATATACCCCCATCATTATCTTTTTCATTGACATTTGCACCATGTGAAATAAGAAGTTCAGTTGTTTCTTTACTATTATATTAATGAAGAGTGGTTAATCCATCACTATCTTTTCATTAATATTTGCACCGTGTGAAATACGAAGTTTGGTGGTTTCTTTGTTATTACACTTTGTAGTAAAATGAAGAGGGGTCGATTGATGTTCATTGGACTCATTGACATATTTATCGTTTGCATTATCGAGTTTAATAAAAATTTAAATATATCACCATTTTGGGATTGGCAAACGTAAACTAAAATGTTATTATTACGGTAGTCATAATTGTCGGAATTTATCTCTTTTTTGATAATATCGATTGTTTGTGGAAATGCAGCACACCATGTAAAGATTTCTGTTTTGAATTTCTTGTAAAGCAAGAATACAGCTTTCAAGTTTTAAAATTTGATAATATCTTTGAAAGGTGGAAGATATTCTATTAGGAAATCTTTGTAATCAAATATCTCACTTTCAATAGCATATTCAGTTTTCATAATGATTCTGAGGCATTCTATGTTCATTTTCTGATGTTTCATGCACTCGTTAATAATATCTGTATTCTGTCCGATTAGAGTAGTACAGAACTTTTTCAGAAATCTTATATTGCTGATTTGAAATTAAGAATTTGAAAATGTTTACAAAGCCAAAATATGATTCAGATCAATATAATCTAAGGAAAAGTCGACACTAGCATCATATTTCATTACAAGCAATTACTTTTTTATTGATTTGATTTTCGTAATTCAAGTCCATATTAATTTATTAGTAGATATCAATAAGTTTGGAAAAGCATCTGATTCAAAATTTATTATTTTCCAACTTATTGTCAGGGGCGCGCAGCGATCCAAAAATGCCAGAAAAGTGTAATTCTATTGCACACAATTATTTTCGATTCAAATATTGATCAACATTAGAAGTTAAAGGGACCAATAGCTTAGTTTACAAATATTCAATTTTTACGAGCATACGGAGAAATAGTATACTCTCGTCATACCCTAACTTTTCATTGTTTCAAAATTTAAAAAAGATATATTAAATACGGAATCTTCAAGTAATGTGTAGATTTCGTTTCTTCTTTGGATATAAATTGCATCTTTTCATGTGCATTCTTCAAACTCGCAAACAAAAATGTAATAATTGTAAGAACTTGTAGTATCATACATGCAATTTGAAATGTATTACTTCCTTTTGATTCACTTTCTCCGCATTTTGAAACTGAAATATCAAAAGCATAGTTTTTATTAGTAGGAGAAGATTGTTTAACCAATTGATAAAATGCCATGAAATTATATGCTATTGATTCAGAATAACAATTTCGTTGTTGAACAAAATTTCCTTTAGAGCAGAGATAGAAGAGAGATCCACCTGCATTGGATTTGCATCTATTAAATACAGAATCTTCAAGTAATGTGTAGATTTCGTTAGTTCTTTCGATATAAATTGCGCCTTTTTCTGTGCACTCTTCAAAGCTGCAAACAAAAATGTAATAATTGTTAGAACTTGAAGTGTCATATAATGCTGCTCCGTTATGAGTTCGATATACTTTAGCAGCATCTCCAAAATATTCTGACCAACTGAATCTTTTTCCGTTTTTCATACTTGTACTGAGTTTCGAAAGATTTTGAAGGATTACTAGATTTAACTACTTTGCTTTGTATATGTTTTTCTGGCTTTGGAGAGATAATTAAAATTTGTTTTTAAAAGTACAAAAATGTCACTTTTTTGTATATTTTTTCTATTTGTATATTATATAATATTATCATTTAAATGATATTTATGATTTGTTTTCAAATTGAAGGGATTTGAGTTCTGATTCAGATGTTTGAAGATTTTTCTGATTATTTTCTTCTGTCTCTTCGTATTGTTTCAGTTCTTCTTCAAGAGTTTTAATTTGGTTAAAAATATTCTTCCTTTCTTCAAGTTCTTTATACTGTTTCTGTTTGTCATTGTTAGATTGACGAAGGTTATTGAGTTCGTTCTCGTATTGTTGGAAAGTTTGACCACGCATGTTTTGTTGAAGTTCTTTCTTCTTTTGCATGGCTGTTTCTTATTTCACATGGTGCTAAATATCGGAGTCATGATTATTATTATTGTCATATCGAATGAATGGTTTAAGAACTAAATCCTGGTCCTGTTGTTGTTTTTGATTCAACATATGAATCAGTAATGAACAATGTGTAACATTCTTCTTTAACATAAAACATACATCCTGCAGTGTTATTTAAAAATACGCAGTGATTAAATAAAACTTGGTCGCTGCTTGTTCCGCATTTATTTCCAATAACATTGCAATAAGAAACTGTATGTATGCTTGAATCATACCAACTGACAAATCCAAAGGATTCACTCCCGGTTTGGTTGTTTTCTTTGAATGCTGAGAAGTTACAGTAACCTGATATTCCATAAAGGGTACTAGTAACTGATGATCTTTGACTGCATTTGTTGTAAGTGATGTTGATATTCTTAATTTGGACATCACCATATGCAATCTCAAATGTATAACTTCCTATTGATTCACTTTCTCCGCATTTTGAAACTGAAATTTCAATGGCATAGTTTTTATTTGTAGAAAAAGATTTAGCTAAATGCTCAAATGCCATGTTATAACTTGTTGATATTGAATCAAAATAACAATTTCGTTGTTGAACAAAATGTCCTAACTGTCTGCAGTCAAAGTAAACAGATCCACCATTTGAAGTGGATTTGCATCTATTAAATACAGAATCTTCAAGTAATGTGTAAATTTCGTTACTTCTAATGATATAAATTGCGCCATTTTCTGTGCATTCTTCAAAGTTGCAAACAAAAATGTAATAATTGTTAGAACTTGAAGTATCATAGAATGCTGTTCCATTTCGGGTTCGATTTATTTTAATTTCATCACCAAAGTACTTTTTGCGTTTTTCATACTTGAACTGGGTTTCGAATGATATTGACGGAGAGTTAGATTTAATTATTTGATGATGAAGAATTCTTACTTTGCTCTGGATATGAGTTTCAAACTTTGGAGAGAGAATTAAAATTTGTTATAAAAATATAAAAATGCCACTTTTTGTATTTCTCTCAATTTTACAAGATTTTTTTTGTTTGATTATTTAATGATAGATTATATAATTTAAATGAAGTATAAGATTCATAATCTAAAGAAATCTAAACTCCTTTCCCTTCTTAAAGTCTCTAATTCAAAATTTTGATTGAGATTCTCTCAATATTGAGGTAGAAAAACGACAGGGAAGCTTTACGTATGAATAGGGATGCGTTAAACACGCCATTTGACCGGGCGTACATTTTTTTTGTTCGCCCAAAAATTTCGCCATTTGAGAAATTCAAAAATTAAAAATAAAATTTTAATCTTGATTTTTTTATTTTCGTGATTTTTTTGAAACTTACATAAGCGATGAAATACTTTTTTTAAGTAATCGTTTATTATATATAAATATATCTTAATAAATTTAATTCCTTAAGGTAGAGCGTGTTCAAATTTAAAATCTCATACAATATTTTCTTAATGGCGTATTTTTCTGAGGTCGCCCAAATAAAGGCGAATTCAAAATTGAGAACTCCAAGGCGTATGGCGAGTATTCAAAAAGTACGCCACTTACAAAATATTGAATGTGGATTATCAATTTTTTGGCGTGTTCAATTTCAAATTTTGATATTTATGTTTATTTTATTCAGTGTAATGCTAAGAATTAAAATATAAAATTCATAGAATTTTTTCTTTGAAAATATTTTACATTTTTATTAGACCACTCCTAGACTAGTCATCAGGTTATCCTCAGATCATCCTCAGACTACTCCTTATCAGATTACTCATCATCCTCAGACTACTCCTTAGACCCCTCCTCATCAGACTACTCCTCAGATCTTCCTCATAAGACTCCTCCTCAGATCTTCCTCCTGAGACTACTCTTCAGACTACTCCTTAGAGTCCTCCTCATCAGACTAGTCCTGAGACTAGTCCTCAGACTACTCCTGAAACTACTCCTCAGACTACTCCTGAAACTACTCCTCAGATTATCCGCAGACTCCTCCTCAGATTATCCTCAAACTACTCCTCAGTCTAATCCTCAGACTCCTCCTCAGATTATCCTCAGACTACTCCTCAGTCTAATCCTCAGACTCCTCCTCAGATTATGCTCAGATTATCCTCAAACTCCTCAGATTATCCTCAGACTACTCCTCAGTCTAATCCTCAGACTCCTCCTCAGATTATGCTCAGATTATCCTCAAACTCCTCAGACTACTCCTCGGTCTAATCCTCAGACTACTCCTCGGTCTAATCCTCAAACTCCTCCTCAGATTATCCTCAGACTCCTCCTCAGATTATCCTCAGACTCCTCCTCAGATTATCCTCAGACTCCTCCTCAGATTATCCTCAGACTCCTCCTCAGATTATCCTCAGACTCCTCCTCAGATTATCCTCAGACTCCTCCTCAGATTATCCTCAGACTCCTCCTCAGATTATCCTCAGACTCCTCCTCAGATTATCCTCAAACTCCTCAGACTACTCCTCAAACTACTCCTCAAACTCCTCCTCAGATTATCCTCAAACTCCTCAGACTACTCCTCAAACTACTCCTCAAACTCCTCCTCAGATTATCCTCAAACTCCTCAGATTATCCTCAGACTCCTCCTCAGATTATCACTTTACATATATATATCGATAACTAAATAATTACTTATTATACTTTCTTTATTTTTTTTTAATTTTAAAATAATATTAATATATCTTTCTACGTTTAATGATGAAAAGAGAAAGAAAAAAAAAAAAAAAAAAAAGGTAGTGGGGCTTCCAGGGGCTGCGCCCCTTCTAGCCCCGAAGATGTTTAGTATAAATGAAGTTTTTATTCGGAAAATTGTTAGTCTTCTGGTGTGAATTCGGAGGACTCTTCTTCTTCCTCCTCCTCCTCTTCCTCTTCTTCGTCATCGTCGGCGTAGTGGAGGAGGACGTAGTTCATCCAAATTCTGTATGGACGTCCTGATTTGGATTTAAATGAGATGGACATATTTTGTGTGAGTGTTATTTCAGTTTCGATAAAGAGTTGGTGTGCTGGTTTGAATATATGTTCGACGTTGGAGAATTTGTGCAACTCATCTTCTCCCAATTCTGTATTGATACAGACTTCGATGAAGTCACCACTGAGAATGTCTTCACCTGTGGGCATATCCACAACAATTAAATGAACGACACAATAGTTGTGAAATTCATTAGTAGGATACTGTTGCAGGCGTATTATATGAGGGGAAAAATGTTTTTTCTTCCCCAAATTCATCTGCTACTTCATCTTCATCGTATCCGTTGTTAAAAGCTTTAAATTCATGTACAATTTGAGCAAATTGTTGACGGAGATTTGGTGGCATACGTAAGCAAGCTTGTAACAATGTCCTACCTTCCACACACTCAGCAAATATGGGAAGGTAGGAACATATAATGTCCGTCAATTGGTCCTGGTTGGGGACCAATTGACAGAGTTTTGTGTATGCCGTTATTGTTTCTTTAACGGTATTTGTGTAGATACGGTTATATGGAGTATTTCCCTGGTTGTTAAGGGAAAATACTCATCCGATTGTAATTTCAATCTTGACCTCAACTCTTTGTTCGGTATTCTTTGGTCTATTCTTAGAGCTGTATTTGTTCGTGCGGGCTGTGGTTTTAAAACATTCGAGTCAAGTTTTAATTGCTTCGAATTGGATGTCGATTTGAATTGGGAGTCTTTTGAGTTCTCCTGAGCTTGGTTCTGTATTAAAGACTGAATAGCAGTGTCAGCTTCTTGTTTTTCGAGATAGTATTCTATTGAATTGGGCTTCACTGTTCGAGACGCGTACATTATGAAAAATGAACTGTTTTTTTCGGACCACTCATAGAAAAGTTTGAGATGAACCGTTTTCGTCAACGGTAACCCCTCTATTTTTTATTTTATTTAATAGTTACCGTTGGAAACCGTTCCATCTCAAATATTGAATGAACTATAAACGTTTTTTGTTTTCTATATATGCTTTTTGTCCAACGGTAAAACTTTTTGCACAACGGTTTTTGAGAGTCATCGCCGTTGACCGAGTAGTTTTTTGTGCTGAACAAAAAGTGTCATATAAACATCTGTCAAAAACCGTTTTTTACTTCACTTAAATGCACGTAAGCTACGTAAGAATATACGTAAGAGGAAGGGAGCATTGAAACATCCAATAGTAAAACTGACACCACAACAACAGTTGCAACAACAAATTATGAATGACCACTATGTTGCAACAAATGTCAAGCAACCCTATGCTTTTAAAACGGAGTTATAGGTGCACAGAGTGGAGGTTTAAGAGCGGCACTTTTAGCGAAAATGGCAGGCTATGGTGGAGCTGCAGACGGAACAGCTTATAACCCTCAAGTCAAATGATTTGAGTTCACTCAAAAATCAAATAACAGATGTCAAAAAGTCAAACATAGACATACAGAAACAAATAAGTGAAAACGAAAAGAAACTAGAATATGACAGAACACACAAGAAACTCAATGAGTTAAACGTAGAGAAAAAGAGAAAAGAAGAACAACTGAAAGAACTAAGTACAGAGGAATATGCGAAAAAAGTGTCAGAAAAAGCAGCAGAAGTAGCAAAAATGAAACAGATGTTATAAATTTGAAAACCATACTACTCAATATAAAGTACTGAAAAGATGAAGAAATAAAACAAAAAGCCCTGAAGACATATATGGATAGCGATGAGTATAAAAAAGAAGTTGAAGCAAATGTAAAGGCAGAAAAACTTTTACAGTTGCAAAACCAAACCGTACAGTATGAAACTTAGCACAAAGTAAAAAATAACGACGCAGCCATGCAAAAGGCAATGAAAAGCGCAGAATATATAAAAGCTAATAATGACTGGTTAGACGCCCAAGCCAACGCTAAAGCAGCCCAACTTATAGGGTCAATAAGGACAAAAATACAAGCGGATGAAGACAGTTCAAATGAAGCTTTAATGAATGCTGACTTTAAGAACGCCTTCGAAGCTCTTCATAGTAAGGTGAAACTAGTGAACGACTTCTCAT